CCTATATCTAACGTTTATTTCTAGATATTCTACCCCTGATTCGGCTCGGGCTGGATTCTCCCACACACTCTTTGGTGGATGCTTCCCTTAAATGCCTTCCTGTGATGCTCCCAGTTCTCGACTTTAGCACGGTCAAGAACGAGGTATTCCCTCCCATTGCTGCCACATTCAGTCGCACTAGCAGCCTTGCTATCAAGGTCCGCAGCCTGGAAGCTTTTAGTGTGCTTTGCGGGGCCTCTGCGGATGTTTCAGACGGGCTTGACGATGATCTGTCCGGAATCCAGGCGACCAAGTCGAAACCAGCCAAGTCCTCGATTTTGGACAAGTACACCATTCAAGAAAAGCTTGTCCCATCTCTCAAGGCGATCAAAACGAAAGAACCGTCGGTGATGATGGCGTCGTTGAAGGTGTTTCGTCAGGTTGGGACCGTCGCAGACACCGAATTCTTGGCTTTGGAAGTTCTGCCGGTTCTCTGGAGTTTCAGTCTTGGGCCACTTTTGAGCCTTAAACAATTCAATGCCTTTATGGCTCTGATAAAAACTCTCTCAACGAGGATTGAACAGGAACAAACCAAAAAGCTGCAAGAGCTATCCTCTGCCGCTGGATCAACGGGCTTCCAGAATGGTGCTGACGAATTTTCGCAGTCCGCCACAGGCCTCAGTTCGCCCGATGCGGACGCCGGTGCTGGCAGCTTTGAGCGCCTTGTTCTTGGAAAGAAGGCATCTCCTACAAATGGCCAGAGCATTGATATGTGGGGTAGTATGGAGCCAGCCAAGCCAGCGGTCCCTAGCATGTCGCCTTCATTCTCCTGGTCTTCAAATAATGCAGGCATGACACAACAAGCGAATGCCTTGAGCCAGCAGTCTAATCTTGGCTTCCGTTCCATTACTCCAGATCAGAAATTGGGCTCTTTCCCGTCTCTTGCTCCTGCTCCTGCTCCTGCTCGGCAAGCTTCACCGATTGCTCAAGCCTTCCCTACTATGCAGCCCTCATCCTCTGCCTGGGGAACCCCGGCAAATGCCAATGTTCGATCCCACACAGGCCCACCGGGTCAGACTTTGGGGTCCATGTCGACCATGACACCCTCGAATCATATGTCCGGGTCAACTGCTCAACCGGCACCCAACTACTCCTCATTCTCAATCCCCCCACCTCCTGCAGGAAACATGTTGTCCAACAGCGCTATGAGGCCCCCTCCGATGAACACAGCCAACAGACCATCATCTTTCCAAGGCACAGCCGCGACACAGCAGGGAACTCAAAAGCAAGGATTGGACAAGTATGAGAGTCTGATATAAGAGACATTTCTTGTTATTTTTTTGGCTGATACCCCCTTTTATTGTTGTCAGTGCTGTTATTGCTATTATTGTACATCCTTGACATAGTAAATAGTAACTGCAACAGTTGTAATTAAGCAAAGTGACAAATGTAAAACATTCACTTAGCAAATCGAAATCTGTGTCAAGCAATGCCGATCGGACTCCATCGGGGATCCGACCGTAGCTATGGAGCCACGTACCTGATTGGTGCCTCCTCATGAGTATGTCATACTACGTCGTCAAACCCCTCCATATGTACTCTATGCGTGGCATTGCGCCGCATTTGTTCTCCCGGAGCTCCGTGTTACCTTTGTTACCCCTCCATCGGATATATAGCCGGTCGACTCTCAGACTGGCAAAAACCTTCTCCTCGCATTCCCATAGAACTCGCGCCATGGACGAAAGCATCAAACAGCACTACCTGGCTGATTCGCCTCCTACTGTGGTCAGGCTGGAAGTCAAGCCACACTTTGATACCCTCAAAGACCAGAACTTGAGAAAATATGCCCACTTCATGAGCAGGTATGGTGTTCCTGTGTTCCTGGGGTCCGCCCGCAGTACCACATCTTCTAAGAGCTATTGGCAGCTAACCTCTCTCGCATGTGTACAGAGCTGCATTTGAGGGCACTCGAGTCACTCTGCGTCAGGTTTCCCCCGAGTCCGAACCTATATACGACCTCATCCTGTCACTCTACCACGCCTCCAATGGCGACTGGAACAGCCTCGCGGAGAAAACACAAGTCAGCTCTGAAGACCTCCGTTTCTTCCTTGAATATGCGGGTCAATTCTTGGGCAACTGCGGAAACTACAAGGGCTTTGGTGACTCAAAGTTCATCCCTCGGCTGTCCCCATCCGCATTCGAGGCTCTGGCTTCGGCTACTCCGGAGACGAAGGCGGCCTTCCAGAAGGCTAACGCCACTGGAGGAGGGATCTATGAGACCAGTGAACAGTCGATGATGCACCTCGGGTATCCCAAGGGCGGCCACATTACCACCTACTACCCCGATTCGCCGACGATCTCACAGGAGGAGATCACAGCAATTGGTGACTTGATGGAGAAGAAGGGACTTGCGTTGGAGAATACTAGAATCCGGAAGACATCTTCGGGTGATTTCGAGCTTTTGGTTGCATCTGGTGTTTCGTCGCCTCCTACGAGAGACCGGGATCTCGGTGATGTGGACACATTTGTACTGGACGGAGATCTGAAGGGAAAGACGCTGCGTCTTGTCTTCGGTGACTACCAAGAGGAGATGGCAAAGATCGCGCACAGCACCAAGCAGGCTGGACTTGCTGCGGCAAATGATAACCAGAAGAAAATGTTGGATTCATATGCTCTCTCATTCGGATCTGGGTCCATCGAGGCTTTCAAGGAGAGCCAGCGTATCTGGGTTAAGGATCAGAAGCCCGTTCTCGAGACGAACCTGGGCTTTGTTGAAACATACAGAGACCCCCATGGTGTGCGCGGAGAATGGGAAGGCTTCGTTGCTTTGGTATGTATGGAACGTGCTGAAATCATATAGACTGCCGTCGCTAACATTTACAGGTCAATCTCGAGCGCACCCGAGCCTTTGGTACACTGGTTGATAGTGCCGAGAGCATGATTCCTAAGCTGCCCTGGGGCACAGACTTTGAGAAAGACAAGTTCCTCAGCCCCGATTTCACATCGTTGGAGGTCTTGACCTTCGCCGGCTCCGGTCTCCCAGCTGGCATCAACCTGCCCAACTATGATGACATTCGCCAGAACCTCGGCTTCAAGAACGTGTCTCTGGGCAATGTTCTTAGCGCCAAGGCTCCTAACGAGGCTATTCCTTTCATTGCCGAGAGTGACCAGGAGGTTTACCGCGCATTCCGGGACCCTGCCTTTGAGGTCCAGGTCGGCATCCATGAATTGTTGGGTCATGGAACTGGCAAGCTGCTGCAGGAAACAGCACCAGGGGAGTATAACTTTGACATTAAGAACCCACCCATCAGCCCCGTCACCAACAGGGCCGTGTCGACCTGGTACAAGCCTGGACAGACGTGGAGCTCGGTCTTTGGTTCCATTGCTTCATCGTATGAGGAGTGCCGTGCTGAGTGTGTGGCCATGGTGCTTGCCTGCGACTTTGAAATCCTGAAGATCTTCGGATTCGGCGATGGCAAGGAAGACTTGGCCGGTAAGGCCGGCGACGTCCTGTTCGCAGCCTACCTTTCCATGGCTCGCGCTGGTCTGGTTGCCCTCGAGTTCTGGGATCCGAAGACCCAGAAATGGGGCCAGGCACACATGCAGGCTCGGTACAGTATTCTGCGCACCTTCCTCGATGCCGGCGATGACTTTGTCAAGTTGTCTTACAACAAAGACGATCTCTCTGATCTAGAGATCCATCTTGACCGGTCCAAGATTCTGACTCACGGACGCCCTGCCGTGGAGAAGTACCTCCAGAAGCTGCATATCTACAAGAGTACCGCAGATATTGAGGCTGGTAAGGGCTTGTATGATGATATTACCTCTGTTGACAGCTGGTGGGGAACCACCATTCGTGACGTTGTTTTGAAGAACAAGGTCCCGCGTAAGGTCTTTGTACAGGCCAACACTATTCTCGAGGGTGACCAGGTCAGCTTGAAGGAGTATGAACCGACTCTTGAGGGTCTGATTCAGAGCTTTGCAGAGCGCAACGTCTAATATGTTTATGTATTTATAAAAATATTGAAGTGTGTAAATGAAATACATATATAGTACTCATGTCTTCACCATGGAAGTAGTTTTTCGCACTCATAAACATCCTCCTTTCTGGTGTCTTTCCAGACGCGTGCGAACGACGACCTTTGTTGCCATTGTTACTACCCCTATTCCACTACTCTGTGCCAACAATTGAACTAGGATAGTCACTTTTGATTCTTCATGACTTCCTTGTAATATTCATAGCAAAAATACAAGATATCATGGGTTAAGACTCTGTGGATGTATATTCAAAAAGGTCCTAAATCCACATCAAAACTGGACTTTGAAAATAATATTCGACTTTGATAACGAGTATCCCACGAAAATTAGTAAAGGAAGTAGTTCATATTATGTATCTAAAAATCAGCTCTAAGATTCTTTTGAAGACCGAAATCAAAATCAAAGTAGGCTGACAATCGTATGAGACGAGAGATCCAGGCGGTTTTGCGGGGGACCGACTGGAAATAGGTCGAAGCCTATAGGCATACTCCCTGAGGGTATTATATCGCTTCGCTAAGCACGTCTAATATCATCCCACAATAATAATTCGACTCGAGAGACAGGAAATCCAACTAAATGCAAGCTAACTCCAAACTAAAACAAAAGACAGGAGGACACGGCACGTGCCAAGGTTTCAATGGCTAGTGAGGCGCTCGGACTTACCGCCGTCCACCTGGACAAGTTGATCTACCCGTCTTCCCCAACCTCTAAGCGCTGCCTCTCTTTCTCCAACGCTCAATCACTGCGAATTTAGCAGATGAGAGCATATATCTGTTCTACTCATTTTGGAAACATTCTTTCATCCCGGTGCTGAAAGTCATTGAATTGGAAAGCCGTCACCCTCGAACACGGCCGGCTTGGACGAGACTCGACCCAGATCAGTCGCATTGCTAGACTAGGTTGGGGTTTGAACATTTTCGTTGCGCGGATCAGCCTGTCTGACTTGATTCAGGCAATAATAGAAAACCACGGTGTCGTGAGAAACGCCGCCGTCGGACCCTTCAACCACGGCGTGCCCGCCCCATCCCACGGACTCCCTAGAGGAGGACGACGATTATTACACTGCACCTCCACCGCACTCCCCAGCATCGGCGTCAAGTTCCTCACCCGCATACCCTCCGCCATTTTCATCTCTTATCTTTTCGTCACTACCAGACACCAATCGCCCATATAAAGTTACTGAACCTGGACCCGCTTGTCCTCCAGCCTTAGCGCCTCCAGCACCTGTCGAGGAGTCGCTCGAGCCGGCCCCATCTTCGGCAGTTGTTGCTGACACAAAAGCGTCTTTCACTGAACCAAAAAACGAGGGCTCTTCCGACGACGGTGAACCACCACCGCCATACACAGAAGGCTATAGTCCACTTGAGTCATTCACCTACGTGATGGCTGCTGCAGGAGGTGCCTCCAGCATCATAACCCAGGTCCAGCAGACCGGGGGTCCGCCAATTAATACTCTTGGTGGTATGTTTTGTAACAAAGGCCGCTTGATGTGCTTTGCGTTAACTTGTGATAATAGATATCGGCGGAGATGAACACGTCGGTCTTGACCTTCGGTAGGATCACACATTGATTCACATCTCAATCATGCATGAACTAACGAGTTTATAGTGGTACGCGGTTTACCCTTTCGCGAGATGAGCTGTTGACTTTACCTGAATTCGTTCTGCTCTCCCTTTTCCCCAATGGCCTCCTCCCAGATGGACATTCCTCAAATGGGTTCCATGACGGGGATGTATTCCCAGTTGACGTACGCAAATCCCTACCTTGAGTATTAAAGTCTCTCTGACAGTTATCATCCAGTATGACCCGGTCTCACTTCAGTACATGCTGGATTTCTTCCGAACTGTTGCCCAAACCATTCCCTCCTCTCTGCCTTCGGGCTCAAACTCACCAGACATGGAATTGTCGGACCCAATGCAGGGCTCAGCTCGTGACATGTTGCAGGACCGTGCTGGCATCATTGTCCTCCGGGAGGATCTTGACTTCTATGTGATCCCCCCTCGCGCCGACATTGGACACGATGAAATGCTCGATGTCAAACGGGCAGCCGGTAGGTCGCTGTTGCGACAGGACGGCATCTTTTCTGGACTGCGCAAGAGCGAGGAGATTGGGTCAACCGAGCAACATCTTATTGAAATGCTGACGGCCGGGTGAGTAGAACTCGAGATCTCAATCATGGTCCCATGCTAATATACAATGCAGAGGATTTGATCGTGCTGACCAGTGGGGTCACCGCGCCCCGGAGCCTAACAAGGCGGTAATCTGCAGTCTTGCACTGGCCAAACTTCGCACTGATATCCGCGGAGACCTGTCAAACAACAATTCTGTGGGCATGGCCCAAAAGCTTCTCCTGTTTTGGCGTAAGCCTGCCCGCCGCTGCTGGTGGGAGGGCATCGAGCTGAACGACGTCGAGGGCGTTGAGGGGCCAGTAAAGGTCTGGATCCGGCGTGTGTGGACTTTGGAGATGGTAAGACTCCCACCCTCAGTGAACTCGAAACTCTTGATAGCTAATCCCATCGCAGAGTGTTATTGGGCTCCGCTGATTTTTTTTCCCTTTTTCTTTCCCGTGCATATGCGATTATCATTCCCCCGGCCTTGTGCCTCGAAGTTTCGACTGTTATTTTTTTTTTTTCTTAAGTTGCATTTAAATATGTCTGCAACAAATATCCAAGTTTTTATCTTACCGACAGCAGCGCTGGCGTACTCAGCAGTTTGGGTGTTCTCATTCTTTTCGGTGCATTCATTTTCTAGTCTGATTAGTGATTAGTAAAAGATTTCTTGGACATCAGTTAGTTTGGCTGTGAGGATTGAATATATGGTGCAGACCTAGTTGGCAATTGTAACCTTGCCTTACATTCCGTTTCCTTGTTTTGGATTTGTGACAATGAGCCAAGTCCACAACGTAGTCGTGATCCAAGAACAATGGGCGACGGCCAGTGCCTAGTAATGATTTCTATTTATATGCCTACGAGAATAGTCGGCCGCTTATGCGGCCTTGCTATATTATTTTAGGTGTCTTTTTAGGTGTCTTTTTAGATGTCTTTTTAGATATTCTTTTCGATGTATTCTTAGGTGTATACATACCTGCCCCAGCGCCATTTTCAATGTGACAACCGAATTTTCCGGCAGTGAAGGAGGGACCTAGTCCTTCCCCTATCTCGTGGTCAGTGAGGCGATGGATGTGCTTGGAAAGCTGTTTATCAATCACCCAGTTTTGCGTGAAAAGGGTGTTGTTATTAGCGGGAAATGTGACGACAGTCCCACGAAAATCTTCAAAAACGCCAGAGACTTCCATCTTTAAGATGACAACATGATGTGTCGCAGACTTGGGGGAGAGAGGCAGAGAGAGGCACAGAGAGAGGAAAACAGAAAATAGAACAAGAGTGAAAGTTTCAACGTGAGGGTAAGAAGACGCGATGGATAAGATCCAGGGCATCGGTGCGTTGTTCACGAAGGTGCTATCCAACTTCGCGATTGGGGGTAGTTTCATGGCAATTCGTATGTGCTAGTAAACCTATGGTTCCAGTATAGATCCTCAGTACTACAATAATCTGTTTGATTTGATGGCCTGAGGCATTGATCACATGATGCCATCCCTGGAATGGGACTAGCGTCGAATTGGGCAAAGTCGCGCAGAATATCGATCTCAAAGCCAATCTCTCCAGCTGGATCCTATCTGGATGCCTTTGACGCGGTCTTGATTTTTGTCACACATTTACTTTATGCTGTGGCATCATACAAGTGCTCGTTGCTCACTCTTTCGCGCTTGGACCATTCTCAATTGTGCCTCAGCAGTGATCAGCCCTTCGAACATCGAGCCGATCAAAACAATCGCAAGCTCTCTATCCTCCCACCCATACCCTCGAAGGGGCATGTTATTGTGCAATTGAATCGCCAACATGTCCCCTCTTCGAGGATATATCAGTTCCTACCCTCCGCGCATGCGCCAGTATGGAAACGCGTTGCTCACACCTGTCAATCCTCCGTCTCAGACCGGCCCGACTCCGCGCACCACGAAGCGTGGAACTACCGCCATCAACTATGCAGAAGATGGATTTGATGACGAGGATTTTGATGAGAACGATGGGCCCCGGCGGCCGACGGGACTGAGGAGTCTTCGGCGCGAAGAATCCGCCACCGACAAGTCGGTACCCTACTCAGAGAAGCTGGGCAAAGAAGTGCATGCGCCGGTGGAGGTGCAAGGCCTCTTTCGCGAGTGGATGATCAAGAGAATGCTGCGACCAGCGTATGTTCCCCATCGTCAGGACTGATGTGGCCATTAACGACAGTGGCCTCTGCCTTTCCCATCTATCCTTAATCTGGCTAACATACAGCGTGGTGATTCTAGGTGTGCCGATCAACTGCAGATTCAAGCGCAACTCCCCTTGACACTCGTTCCCATCCGAATTGACGTCGAAGTCCCCGCTCATCAACCCCTCGAACCATTCCCTTTCCCACGCTCTGCCATGGACCCTAGCATCAACCAGACTCTTCCTGCGTATCGCAGACCCGAACCATTACCCCCCTTCCGTATTAAGGATACCTTCTTATGGAACCTCCACGAATCACTCTCAACGCCTGAAGAATTTGCTATTGGTTTCGTTCGCGATCTTGATCTCCCAAATCCTCAAGCCACGACCATGACCATCAGCAATCAGATCCGACAGCAGCTTGAGGAATACGCTGGTGTTGCTCTCCACCCCCTCTTCCAGAGCACAGATGCAGGCACCGTGCCCAGTGTTCTGCCACAGACTGAACCGTCGAGAGACACGCCATCGACACCAGCTGTTGCCAACGTTGGGACACCTGATAGCCGGCCTAATGTGACGACCACTGTCACCGTAACCAAGGAAGCGCTGGTAAATGACAGCCTTCTGAACCCAGATGACGCATATCGGTGCTTGATCACTCTCAACATCAACCTGCAAAACAAGTTGTACACAGACAAATTCGAGTGGTCTCTACTACACCCACCTGGCATGGCTGAAGAGTTCGCGCGCATCACTTGCGCAGATCTCAGCCTTGGTGGTGAATGGGTCAGTGCGATTTCGCATGCCATCTACGAAGCAGTCCTGAAGTTCAAAAAGGAAGTCTGCGAAAGCGGTGCCCTTATCAACGGCTACGGTAACGAAATCGACAATTTGGCAGCCAACGGCGTGGAGGCTGGCTGGCGCTATGACCCTGAAACAATTTGTGACGGGTGGCAACCTCAAGTCGAGACACTGTCCAAGGAAGAAATTGAGCGGAGAGAAGGTGACCGTGAGCGTCAGATCAGACGTCTGCGCCGAGAAACAGCCAGGTTCTCTTCAACCACGGGCATTACACCTGAGATCTCAAGGCAGAACAGTGGCAATTACTTCGAGGTAGACAGTGAGACTCCACTCGGACGTGGAGAAAGGAATAAGCGCAAGCGCCGGTTCCGCAGCTTGAGCCCTACGGGCAGAAGTGGCACTCCTGGTGGCCGAGGAACTCCTGATACCGGATCAGGGGCTGGGTACGGTGGCGGTGGTGGCACGCTTTCCGAATGGTATGTGGTTACTACATACGTTTCGTTGGAATATTCACTAATGCTTTCCATCCACAGGGAACGTCAAAGCTGGAGATGCAAGAACTGTGCGGTGTGGGGCACAGCAGTTTGGGCTGTGCGTGATGGTCCAGATGGCCCACGGGTAAGTGCTACTCACTCTAGAATGTACTGCAAGCAGTTTCTAACCATCTTTTCCAGACACTCTGCCATAACTGTGGCCTGCTCTACGAGCGTGATAAGGTTGCACCGGAATGGTCCAAGGATCTTCACCGTCACGATGTTCCCGTCGGCCGTTATGGCTAAATTATCAACGGCATCTTTCCTTATATCAACCTTAATGTACTATCTTAAGCTTCAATGACCTACTTCACGCCACCTATTTCTCCATGCCCTTCTCAACCATTTAATCCGCTATTGTTGCACTTTTTCTTTCTTACCTATCTCGGCGCCACAGCGCATCTTCTGTTGTAGGCATGTCTACTTTCAATTTCCATCGCAAAATTCAGGGCGTTATTATTTTCCCGAATCATCATCTTTTTCTTAGTCAACGTCTTTCTTGCCTTCAACGCATGTTCTTTCTTTGTCCGGACGATTGGAAGGGAAAGGGTTACTAGGAAGTAGAGTAGACCTTGAAGGAGATTACACTCGCACCTTCCTATAATGAAAAGGTTCCCTACTTTCCTATTTTGTCCATTCTCCCGTGATTTGATGGCACAAAAAGCAACTGATCTTGTAGATATATCTCCACTGAAAAAACACATATCTTTGTGTGAATCTAATTTTTGAAATTGCACCACAATGCCGAGGCCTACAACTCTTATTTTAATTGTAAGTTAATTGTACCTTCCGGCCCTATCTTTTGATACCAATTTTATATTGGTAGTAAGTATGTTGGCGCTAGGAAGTTAGTGGCCGCCCCTTTTAGGGGGCGCGAAAATTCTACAACTCATAGTAAGAGGGTATATTAGATGCCAATTAAGACGCACGCTAGTTACTAAATCATGTTAGTAGTAACAACTCTATTAAAGTCCTAAGGCCGGTATTAGAGTATCTAAAATCGATTTAGGAGCTTAGTACCGATCTAATTAAGAACCTTATCGGCTAGGAATAGAAGTAGCAATTTGAATAGCTACGCTAGGAAACTAGCTAAATCAAATAAGATATCTATACGGTAAGAATTGCTTCGTCTAATACTAATATTAATACTAATCTATCGAACCGGATCCGATTATATATCGACGCTGTTAAAAACGCGCTGCCGCCGACGTACTCTTATCTAGCTATAGGTCAGCCTCGACTAACCCCGTATCGCCTTCCGATCTTATCTAAGATCGCTAACGTGTTTCACAAGCGAATTATATATATATCAACCACAACTCTATTAAATTGAATATACTAAAATAAATCTATCTAGTTAGGCATCTATTAAATCTATGCTTAGTTGATATATACCCACTATACCTTAGTATATAGCCCGTGTACGTGGTTCCAAAGCCCGTTCTTTATATATACTAGCACTAGGAGGAAGTACTTTGTCTACTTCTACTGGCTTAGTAATTAATTAAGAAGCTTCTTAAACTAAGAGGCCTTCTTTAGCGGGTATCTACCTCTGGGATCTAGTACGCCTTTACTTCTACTTCTCGTTCGCGGCGCGTAATTTCTTATTTTCGTTAGCGAGTAAGATAGTACCTTATATTATGAGACAGAAGCCCTTTATAAGCTAGTTTAATATACGATCTAACTATGACGATCTAGGGAAAGGAAACTCGATTCTACCAAAGGTTTCCGCCTTAGCGTAGTTTGTGTTGTTTCTTCCGACGACGTGAGCGACATAAGTAGACAATGCAAGATTGCCGTAATGTCAATTGAAAGAGCTAAACTGGCGGTAATTATGGGTGGTCTTGCTCCCATATCGATTCACACCCCAGCCAGTAATCAACCATGGCTTCAAACTGGCCAGCCCTTTGAATGTGTAACCCTCGATGATGTTGAAAGCAGTCTCAATAGATGGGAAACCAACGTTACTTTTGAGATCAATTTCGTTGGATTGGATTCACCCGGTGCGTGGGTAGGCGACAGCCAGCTATACACAATGCTCAGACTCTTATACCACGCTGTGAAATTTCATTTGGCTACCTTGCGAATACTTCGAGGCAGGCACACAATTTCACCATAGTCTGGACAGAGCCTCACAGAGACCAGCCAGAAGTATGTTGATATCATGGAGATCATCAAAGAGCTTCGATCTTTTGGCTATTCTGTTATCATTACAATCTACGAATTATCCATTTTACGACCGATTTTGATACCGAAAATTCTCGGCATCTTAAGTCAAAATGATTTGGAAGGTACACTGGATATTCCATTACAATTCGTGATTGATGACCCAGACTCTTACCGTGTATTTTTCGTGGAATCTGAAGAAGAAAGGTTCCAGGCCGGATCCTTTGACATTAATCACACTATTTCACGCCGCGTAGCCAATCTCCGAACACCACGACGCTTTGAGATATTGCACATGCTTTTCTTAGACTTTAAGTGTTAGGCCTACCTAAGATACAAAGACGGATGATTCGAACTTTAGTGAGCAAGAGCAATTAGCTCCACTTCAATGTGCATCATTGTCTTGAAACGCTTGTAAAACGGTATTGCCAAGATTCGAATAGTATAAGAGAATGCCATTTCTTTGAATTCACTATCTCACAATTTGGTTGCTTGGCGAATACCGTATAGGAGTCTGTTGGCTTCCTCGCGCATGGTGGTAACGATGCGGCCCGCCGGCATAACATTCTTAACAAGCCCAACCGCGGTCCCGGCGTATGTGCAAAGTCTCCCTTCAGGCCCGTAGCCTTCATCCCCTTGGTTCAAGGACTCACGATAGAGTTCCCGATTCTTACCCTCGCACAGCCCGCTACAGGAATCCACAAATGTCTGGTTGATCACGCCCCGGCCGTCGTACCGCTCTGGCCATCCATGGATATCTCGTACACTGTCATAAATCTTTGTCCGAGTTGTGCTAACGCCACCATCAGCAGCACGCAGGATTTCTTTCTGGTAGCCATTCGCGATCATTGATTCGGGACTGGCGAGAAACCGAGTTCCAAGGACACATCCTTGCGCACCGAGATTGATTGCAGCAGCAACACCTCGTCCGTCACTAATCCCGCCAGCAGCCAACACACTAATTCGACCTTGTGTAGGCGTCCAAATCTCATGGAGTTTGTCGCGAATTTCGGGTACCAGCGACACAATGCTGGCCCCACGGGCGAGTGAGTGTCCTCCCGCGTCTGTGCCCTGAGCCACGATGACATCTGGCTGCACAACTTTGGCCACTTCGACAGCATCTGCCACGGTGCTAACCTGGACCCAGATTTGTGTCTTGTGGGACGTGGCCTGTCTTATTTGGGTTGCCCACGGGACAAGATCTTGGAATCCATGTGGCGGAGCAAACAGCCAAATCGCACAAGGGCAGTATTTCTTAAAAGCAGGTAATGCATCCACCAAAGACGCACTCCAGGTGATAAAGCCCACACCAACTGGCAAAAACACCGGCTGGGGTGAACTGCTCTCAGTCTGATTATCTTCTTCGCCGAACAGTTGGTCCTTTGCTTCCTCTAGCAAATCCTCTAGGTGGTCACTGAAGTATCCGGCTGCAATGAACCCTAGGCCTCCTGCCTTGGAGACTGCGACTGCGAGCTTGGGCATGGCAACCTTGGCCATGGGGGCGGATACAATGAGAGGAGATGCGGTCCATGGATAAACACCTTGAAGGTCACTTGAATTGAACATGGTGGAGATATTGGTACGCAGCGAAGAGGTTATTGTCAAGTGATTGCAAATTGATTACACCACACGATTATATAGTCTCTTCACACGATGATAGGGTAAATTCAGGATCGAGGTTGGATGTCCATGATACCCTATCTTCTGTTGTTGCTACGCACTCTATTCCCTGCGCGATACTACTCAGAAGACCGAACGTCATTGGCTTGTTGACTAGCCGCAATAGCCGGTGTTCTTTGAAGCTTATCAGCTATCCAAATACTCCTGAGCACGTCCCCCTAGGTAAATGAGGGGTTCGGGAAGATAACTTGCCTTTACTGGTCATCTTAGTGGTGAACGCCGGTGATTTTGGAGAGAGATAGCATGGCGCGGTGCGGAACGGGAATGAAGCGGGTATCATTCAACAAAAAGATTACATTGGGAGTAGAGATACAAGCTTGAGGAAGTCTAAAGATGATTTCTAATAAACCCACTTCTCCAACTTTCCCCATACTTCCCCAGCTATCTGCTCTTCCCTTACCCACCTATCGTGGGGTTCCGCAACACCCGATTCGAGCTGATGTCGGCTAGAATGATCGGAACCGACAGGAATTTTGATGTAACGAGGCACGATTTAAAAGTTCGATGTCACTCCTTTCAAGTTAACTTTCCATTCACAAACATCATGAGTTCTACCACACCAACCTCCTCTCGCCGACCCACTGTGCAGATGACACACGAGGCGATTACCAACCCTTGTGACACAGCCAATTTTATTGACAACGAACTCGTCGCTTCCAAAGCCGTCGAATGGTTTTCAGTGCTTGATCCTGCCACAAACAATCTTGTCACACGGGTGCCGCAGAGCACAGATGAGGAACTACGCGCTGCAGTTGCTTCAGCCCAGAGTGCCTTCCCAGTATGGCGGGCAACAAGCATCATGGCAAGACAGCAGATCCTTTTCAATTTTGTAAGCCTGATTCGTGCCAATTGGGATCGCCTTGCTGCATCCATTACCTTAGAGCAAGGCAAAACTTTCAAAGACGCTAGAGGCGACGTTCTCCGTGGTTTGCAAGTGGCTGAGACGGCGTGTGGAATTACCACCCAGCTCACGGGTGATGTTCTCGAAGTTGCCAGAGATATGGAAACGCGAAGTTACCGGGAACCGCTGGGACTTGTAGCAGCCATCTGTCCATTCAACTTCCCCGCCATGATCCCCCTGTGGTGTATCCCTATCGCAACCGTGACAGGCAATTGCCTCATCTTAAAGCCTTCTGAACGCGACCCTGGCGCTGCCATGATCTTAGCAGAGCTTGCTAGAGAGGCGGGATTCCCTAAGGGGGTGCTAAATGTCGTTCATGGCGCCGCTGCAACGGTCAACTTCATTTTGGATGAGCCAGCAATCCGGGCAATCAGCTTCGTCGGTAGTAACCGCGCCGGAGAATACATTTACTCTCGGGGTTCAGCAAACGGTAAGCGTGTTCAAGCGAACCTGGGCGCTAAGAACCATGCTGTCCTTCTCCCAGATGCTGATAAGGATTTGTCTTTAAACGCGATTGCTGGTGCAGCGTTTGGAGCAGCTGGTCAGCGGTGTATGGCTCTCAGTGTGCTTGTCACAGTCGGAGAGACTGCATCTTGGATACCAGAGCTTATCGAGAAGGCTCGTAGTTTGGTTGTATCCGCCGGTTTCGAAGAGAACTCGGATGTGGGCCCGGTCATCAGCCCCGAGAGCAAGGCAAGAATCGAGTCTCTGATCGCAAGCGCATCGAAGCAAGGTGCAACGATCTCTTTAGATGGAAGGGCACACGTTCCCGAGAAATATCCAGATGGAAATTTTGTAAGAAAACCTCTCCAGCCCTTTAAATGGATTGCCCTAACAATTCTCGATGTTCTCCTGTCAATAGGTTGCGCCCACAGTGATTACGAATGTCAACACGAAGATGACGTGCTACAAAGAAGAGATTTTTGGACCGGTACTAGTTTGCCTGTCCGTCGAAACGCTCGATGAAGCTGTTAGGCTCCTGAATGACAATGAGTACGGGAATGGAGCTGCTATCTTCACGCGGTCAGGCTCGGCGGCCTCTTGGTTCCAAAAGAATGTTGAGTCGGGCCAGGTGGGTATCAATGTTCCCATCCCAGTCCCGCTTCCCATGTTCTCTTTCACAGGGAATAAGAAGAGTATTGCTGGTGGAGGCGCAAACACATTCTATGGAAAGCCTGGATTGGCCTTCTATACCCAGCAGAAGACCGTTACGAGCCTGTGGCGCAAGGACAATATTGACTCTGGTAAACAAGTCGTGATGCCTTCCCACTTGTGAACAAGTTAAGTTTTCGTTACACGTACTAAATGTTATGAATCATGACTGAATTTGATATTATTTCGCTTCCTTTCTTTGTGGCGGCCCAGGTAGACAGAAATTAGACTCTCATCGGGCAGAGAAGACGTAAAAGTCGATAAAAGTAGGAATACTATCTCTGTCTTGCTAAAGGACGCTGAAGGGACAGTTGAGATTTTCTCTCTTTGTTTGTAGCCTAGGTAGCCCACCGCTCCAATAGCACTTGACTTACACATATCTCCGTATTCAGTCATCCCCTCTGCCACTCTGGAAGTTAGGAAGAAATGTCAAATATAAAGAAAATTTGACATACGAAGTTAGACACTGGCATTAGCTCCATGTCCCTACGTCACCACTTTCGCCGATGAAGAGGTCGATTTTCGACCCTCTATATCCCTCCAAGATTGTAGTATAAAGAACCACCTCATAATTGTAAAAGTCAATCGAAACATTCCCCTTTCGGTCATTATGTCTTAGGCCAGCAAGTTGTTTGAAACCCCTCCTAAAGTACATATCAGCGCTACATGGGCCAAATTATTTATAGCACTTTTATATAAGATCTGTATGAAAGTTTGGCTCTGTGGTTGAACTTGGAGGTGGTAAAGCATAGTTACATAAAGTATGATAAATGGAAGTCTAGGGTGAATAAAACTAGAATATATTGTTGAAGTTTACGATGTAATAGAGAAAGAAGCATAAGAAAGCTCATGTAAAATGGTCCATTCCAGAGAGAGTAGGAGAGATCTGCTATTCAAGGAGAGAGTTCTCTAAACGTACTAGGCGTACTGAGTAGGGTAGATGCTGATCGGGATTCATGCCTGATGTATCCAATTGATACCTTGTCAATCAGGGCCCAAGTGTTTTGGTAGTTATTGCATGAGTCTCAACACAAATATTTCGAAATTAGGAATAGATTGGTAGATGTGCCGTGGTACGGGTCAAGTTCAAGTTTGGCTTTTTGTTGAGACAATGAGCTTCTAAAGCTTTATTTGTGCAACTTTTATTGGCAGAATCACATTGACGGGATTGGGGGTATGAATTCCGATCCTTATGTTGATAAACTGTGTTCCTAAGAAAAGAGCTGCTCGAATCCGATTCCCTCTAAGCTCGGAATTCCAACGACCAAGTTCTCAACCCATGAAAGTTGGTCAGGATCTGGCCATACCGGCTGCTGAACCGTTGCTTCTGTTCTCTCTTCATGCATGCTAATCAGATCGTCTAGAATTTTGATGTCATCGCGTCGGCGACGCTGATAGAGGAGAATCAGGAGCTCCGCCGTGCGACACGCGTTTTTCATTGTATCCATAGCGTATACTGAAGCTACGAGGCGCGACGTGTGCATAGCCTCGGCTAGCCGTTCGAAGGATGCGCGCATGTCTAGCACGAGCAAACAAATGACAGTGTGGAACGGCATATTCGCAATATGATGCCACAGGCAACATGCTTTGACCAGGATTCTCGCTGAACGGAGGCCTCGCGGAAGTAGAACAAGTATACGATCAATTATCGTAGGGCCGAAATTATGGGTTATCGAGTTGAGGCGCCGAAGCATACAAAGTCCCAAGTTGCATTGTGCAAGAATGAATGGGGGATCCGTGTGATGTTTGTCTAACAGTTGCAGGAATGACGATTCAAGGCTTTTGTCCTCAGTTGCCTGTTCCGGATCTAGACTGACAGATGCTGGCAACAAACTGAGAATGTCATTTTTATAGGTGGCAATGAGTTGTCATTTAGACATGACACCTTAGAAAGGCCTAAGTCAAATGAGATCCATAATTCAAGTACTAGGCAATTCCCACGAGATCAGTCTTGAGATCGTGGTCATTCAAGCTGTTTTGTGCAAAGGAGGAGGCTGAAAGCTCATGGCAAACCCCAGAGGCCTCGATAAGATGCACTAGAGTGCAGCTCGCCAGCCAGGTTGGGTATGGAAGAGCCGTCATCCGCCTGTATATCACTCGGAGGATCCAACCTGTCACAATGTCGAATGACGGTCTTGCCTGTATGTCCGCCTCTAGTTTGGATCGAGCAGATTGCACAAGATGCAGCTCAGTAATCGTCACGTCCTTCCGTGAAAATAACGAGCCGAGCGCAGCGACCCCGATAAAAACACTGTCGTATCGGTCGTTGCTCAATTTTGACTGCGACCGCTCATTGAGACGTTGGGAAAAGAAATACTTGACGATTGACCAGTCCATAACATGGATCGACCTTGTCAAAGTAGACCTTGGCAAGATTTGAGTCTCGTCCGGAGAGGTAATTTCGAAGATGGACAGGGGGGGGGGGGGGGAAGAGCGATTGGATTAGGTGATAATTGTCGACATCCAACATTTCATCCAAAAAGGTTCATCTTAGGTGCATCTGTCGCGTCGATCTTGATACTAATGTTTCTTACAAATGACGCCCCAGGGTTTGCCTCTAGGCATCGTAAGACTTTCTCGCCATACTGTCGTTCGTTCTTCTTCAGCGTAGTGTCTGACTTTGCTGGTGCAGCATCAAACGGTGCTGCGATCAGCGCAAGAGAAGGCGGCTGGGATGGTGAAGTTGGCTGGCATCTGTAGTGGCACTCGTAGCCCCAGTCGCTACAGGTATTGCATGGGCTTTGCCCATTGCATTTCCTTTTACGATCCCGGCAAGGCTCACAAGCAACCCTAGAGTGTTTGCGCTTCGCTGGAATGGGTTACGTGTTGATATCGTGTGTAAAGAAGAATAGTCCATATGAGATTTGCGACACAGGAAATACAGCGAGATGAACGACCGGCGGTCCCCCTTGAGAGAAAGTGCAGTTCCCGCAACAACCGCCGTAACTTTTGTTTAAAATGACGCGGCACTGAAGAGTTGCCTTATCACGGAAGCGCCTCTCTACTTCGGACTGTTGATTAACTCCCGAACAGTGATTGTGCGGGTATTGCGGAAAGAAAGACTCCAAATTGCAGGGAAATATTTCTTAGCACCTAAACCTTGTGACCAATAGAGAATCTACCTAGGCTTTAGAAATGCCTAGAACGTACACTGGTATACCGTAAATTCTGACACATCAAAAAATTTATCTCCGCGGAACTGGGATGTTAACACCACATGAGGTGGAGTTGCTTCCCCCACAACCCTCGTCTCTTAATTCAGTGAACCATATTTCGGTGATATAAATTCAGTGTCCGGTCACATTCAAGTTTGGAAACTAGGTCAAAGTTTTCTCCTTTCATCCTACCCAGAATACAACAGTATGATACCATCCTATGCCATCCAATGCCTTTTTCTTATCACTTTTTCATATGCATGGAAGGTTCAAAGCTTCGCCGACTTGGTTGTGTTTGGTGATAGCTGGTCTGATGCTGGATGACTAAACTATATCTCAGCCCACAACGGAACTCTTCCTCCGGTCGGTTGGACCAACAGCGAGGTTTGAACTTTCACGTCAATGAACGGAAGGATTTTCAATGTCTGACAGTTCTTATAGGACTCGATTGCTCCGGATGGGGGGCGTCCATGGCCGTCCTATGTCGGGCAATATACAGGAACGACAGTGTATAACTACGCTGTTGCTGGAGCAGTGTGTGCTAATAGTCTTACGCCGCGTATAAACGAGGCAACTGGAGATTTGTTTCCGGACGTCGCCACATACGAGGTTCCGGCGTTCATTACAGATAGCCAATACACGCTTCCTGATGGAACCAAGTTCATGGACATCGCTTCAGAATCTACCGTCTTCGCTATCATGATCGGTGGCAATGATATTGGAGCTGGCGGCTTTCTGACCGACTCCCAGACCCCTGGCACCACCATCCCAAGTTATATAGATTGTATTTTTGAGCAGATTGATCGTCTTTTCAATCATGGCGCACGTTACTTCCTTCTCAACACACTTGGAGCTATGTATATTGCTCCACAATACGAAATGCCAGATGCTGGAGGTCTAGAAGCAACCCAGTGGACAATAGCAATCCAGACGTCTTCATGTGGTACGATGAACTACATCCCAGCGAACAAATGTGGTGCAAGATTGCCAAAAACTTTGTTAAGGGCACAGCAAATGGGCATCGTACTACTCTACGTAGTGACTACTGACAGAAAGCTGGTGTACGAACAATGTATGGTATAGATGACCAATGTTGACAACTCTAACTCTATTTCAACAATCTCTGTGGACATCGATGACTAACTGTAATATACATTTTTGTATGGTACCCAATGTCACATGATGTTTCCGGTATATTACCTGGTTTCTACCATGTATTCGGACTTGGTATTCGACACTTAGCTTATAGATCCGGGTAGATCGACGAGGTCTCCTCTAGTAGTTTTAATACGTTATAACCGGAGATATACCAATTAATAGCTAGCTAGGACAACGTTACTATCAATTAAGACTAAGGGAGGGGAGGGTACGGAGAGAGAGAGTGTGTGTGAAGTAGGGGTTAGAAGGTAAAGGGTGCACTCCACAACTATCATTATATATTGATATCTTATGTGTAGGTTTAGATAGGTTTGGATCTATAGGGTTACGGGTCATAGGAATGGGCTGATTCCGCACTCTCTACGATCAGCATCTATATACTCTATAGGATGCACATGTGGTTCCAACTCGGCATTTGGCTTCGAGTTCTTGCTTCAGTTGGATGAAGCGCCTGCATAGTCATACGCAACTAGTTAGACTACAACAGGTTAATTGAACTTTGATTGATTGATTAATTGATTGATTGATCATCTCCCTCACTTATTTTATTGAATATTCTGGAATGAAATGTAACATTCCTGTCTACTTTAGGCCCTTATACTCGACAAGTCTTTTCACTTTCATGACTAAAAACCACCGAACCTTCTTTTGGCTGTAGGCGGCTTCCCTACATATGGCCATCGAAGACTCCCGCAACGCGGTCCGCTGATAGACTATTTAGACAACTCAACCCTCAAGGAACTGCAGGATACGCTCAAAGCCCTCAGGCTCCTTAACCCAGTGGCCATCACCCTCTGCCCCAGTAAACTCCTGCCAGTCAACGCGTACCACAATCCTCCGTAGAACTTGACATGCCTGCCGTCCAAGCTCCACAGATACCCATGGATCATCTGATCCATGGCTTAGAAACACAGGTGTAGATAAAATAGAACTGTCGACAGGCTGATCCGAACGCGATGTGTCACCGGCAATTTCATCAAAGAAGAACCCGGATATTAAACTCTGTGCCTGAGAGCTGCCAGGACTAAGAGATGATTCGGAAAGCAACTGGTCTAGCTGCTGCGCGAATGGCAACCAACCACAAAAGCCAAATAGTCCACCTAGCGATCCTTGGATTCGGTCTGTTGCAGTTGCAGCGATGAACGCCCACAAGGCGGTTGCCATCCCCTGACTCATACCTCCAAGGTAGATGTGAGAGAACCCTCCATCTAGTAGTCGAGCTTCCTCCTCGAGCATATCGAGAATAAATAAGACTGACTGTTTTATACCCTCTTTCTGTAATTCTTGTCGTTCGTCGATATTGCCTAAGGAGTAGGCGTCAAACCAGGCGCACATTTCCTCTTCGAATGTAGTGCTCCATCGATTGCGTGAAGTTGGAAAGACCCAGCGATAGGAGGGTAGACAGGAAGGCAGATTTTTGCCCTTGGAGGTTGAAGATGAGAAAAGCTCTTCGGCGAACTCGGGGCCATTGCTGCCGCGACCATGTAGTAGGATAACCGTGTGGGTGTGGGTGTGGGGGGGTTGGGGATGGTAGATGTGAGCTTTAGGAAACTCCATGCTTCCTGTCTGTAAATACTTTTATTTTTGGATCTAGGAGATGTTAGATAACCTCGGAGTTTTATTTCGGTTGGATATCCTAAGATCCTAAGAGTTGAGCGGTCAGCGATTGGCGGTGCACGTTCTAAACAAGCTACAATACATCTCTCTACGGTGTACAATATTACAAGGTGCTTCACACATATTGTATGGTGACCTAAGATTTTAAGGAGTATTTGCCTGTATGTTTATTCAGATATAAATAAGTAGTTTTTGCATCTGGGTTGGGTGACACCTCAGCCATGCTTTATGCTTCTAAGGTTACACCTATATTGCGCAGGTAGGCCAGCCTCGTTGCATCCAGGAGCAATGGTAATCAAGACCCCTTTTGAGTGTAAATGTATTCCGTCTCTTTCATTGGTATCTAAACGTTTCTCTTCACTTAGGCTTCACTTTACCTGGGTGGAACACTAAGCCCAATGCAGAATTGGAAGAGCAACGTTAACGCAGAGATGACCAACCAGCGTCAGGGAAAGCATATCTCTCCCGAATTCAAGTTTGAAACATTCTTAAGTTTTCACCCAGCTGAGCCATAATCTTAGTTTAGAACAGCCGAGGATTGTCCCGTCTTATGGTGTGTGAACTCAAACAGAAATTATACCCGAGTTGTGTCTTTCATTGGCCTATACGCCTTTCCGTCTCTCAAACAAAGTACCCAGTGCAGAGTTTTCCTTGACCTGGGTGAAATCTTAGAGCCAATAGAGAGTTGGAATAATCTAAGCCTCGTGGACATGACCAACCAGCGCAAGCGAAGACGGTTCAGTCCGCAATTCGAGTTTGAATTTTCCTGGTGGGGGTAGACAGCTGAGCCGTGATCTGGGTGAAGTTTATATTATTATTTCTATAAATCACTAGATACTTTCGGGGTTAAATTTTAGGTGGAGCCCTAGGCCTAACGCATTCTTTAATGCGATATCTTCCAAGGTTGGAGCACGGAGATGACCAGCGTTAACGCAGGCTCCAATTGGAATCTGAATATAGGGAGTCCATAGACAGTCTGTCGAGATATAACCTGTACTATCGTTCTTATAGGAATGATGATCTCAGCATGGCCGAAAAAAAGCGAGAAAAAAAAGTTGATGAACAAGATGAGGGCTAGAATCCGATGATGTTATTCTATATGGTCTACAATTCTATATTGTCGTCAGTAGCGACAATTTTCTATGGGATAATTTTCGAATCGGAAAAGCTTGTTATTCGGTTGAGTGACCCATTTCAGATATGCATGAAATTTAGAGTGACTGCAATCTGTAAGTAAGCAGAGGAATCCGCGAGATCACAAAACGAACTAGACACGTCCAATTTCTTCTAATTTTTGAAGGACGTGATGATGCTAGTTATAACTCGAGGATTCAAGCTGGAAAAGGTCCTGCAGATCATTAGTCCATAGACTCTCGATCAATAAAGAATGTAGTTCTTACTAGTAATGACTGGATTCTGTTAGATGCAGTATGATCCGATTTTTGGAATCCGCCCGTTGTCAGTTGCAGCTTTCTCCGTTGTCGTGATAAGACATCACTCTACGTATTGTTAGATAGTATCCGAACGATGCACTGTTGCTAACCTACCTCCTCGACGGTGCCTTCCATGATGTACCGAACAATCGCCACGTTGGAGATTTGACCGGGTCGAAGGGCCCGACCGATCGATTGAGCTTCAATTGATGGATTCTACTGTGGCTCAAGAAGGCAGATACGCGACGAGGTTGTAAGATTCAAACTATCTCAATCATTAGCGGCTTGTTCCGATAATCGAGAAGTAATAACCGACCCAACAGCACCCGTCCCAAGAGTCATTAGGAGAATATTTGTTTCCTTGTGATCTTGATATCTTTGTAATTCTTGCAGACGTCTTGACAAAGAAAGCGATCCTTCTACCATGCTTCTAATTGAACACCAAACATGTCATCCATGTCAATTTCATCAACGTCATCAGAGAGGCTTTCATCGCTTGATGAGTAATTTGGATCTATCTCTTCCGAGCCAGGTATAGTGGAATAGTGGAATAACTCGTCATTCGGTCGTCCCTCAAATCGTAGAACATGCGGATTCATGTATCTCCTCTCCCCAAGCCCATAGCGAAGCGGCTGCAGGAAAATATGAGATTTGCTCAATTTAGCTCCCACATCGTCGGAGAAATGTAACGGGGCATAAATGTTGATTTCAATTGGTAGCAGCCTTTCGCCGTATCTTTTCTGCACTGCTAACATTGCATCTTCTCTAGTAATATATGCCTGTAATCGAATTTGTTGGTTACTTGTCGCTTTCGAGAGACCGGTACATAACTGCTTGTTGAGGCGGGCGAATTTATCTTCCTCATGTACAAGAAGAAAGAAATTCCCCTCCTTAAGAACCGAAAAACATAGGGAAGGTGTGCTGTGGTCGGCCAAATGTTGAATCAATGCATTATCGCGATCCAGCCGTGCCGTGACACCAATGATCTATCTAGCGTTAGCTATGTGTAGCGTGCTCAGATGGTAATCAATTTACTGCTCCCAGGCATATTTCTTCATCGAAAATACCGGTTTCCGAGATGATAGTTCTCGAAGAAGGCTCGGTTTGAAATGGCAAATTTTGTCCCATTAAGTTCTGTGAAATAGGCATCATCGCCTCAAATATCCCAGAAGTCCTCGAAAAACAAAAATAGAAAATAGAAAGGTGCTGAATGGTGAAGATCAAATGGCCCCAAGAGTGTGGAAGAGGGAAGAGGGACTGCAGAGCCGCACGCAAGATTAGCGTAATGGAGGACCTCAGCCTTCTTGCATCCTCACATCCTTCCAACCTCCCTCTTTTTCTTCTCTTTTAAACAACAATTGCCAGCACATATACACCACTGTTTGAGCGATCACTTGAAGCCTTCAAAAAAGACCTTAATAAAAAGGACCGGGATAACTTCAAATTCTCCACGCTGATGTAGAGCAATGTCTCACCCAGTTGCAGGTCAAGCATCGGTCTCAGCGCCGTATGCAGAATTTGAATCAACTGAAGCCATTCCTAGAAGCTATGAATCAGTTCGGCAAGGTGGTGGAGGTATTTCGCAATAGCAGTGAGATCGTGCCATTTCTTTTGGTAAGAGAGACCTGGTAAACATTCAAGCTCATATCTTCAGGCTGACCTTCGTAGGGACTAGTCAAGTTTCTGCTCCTAGTAAGAATTGCCTATTCCATGCCTAAGATGCTTACATTACGAATGCACTAACGGGATTCAGATCGCAGATACTTTCGAAAACGCCTTCTCCGAAGTGCTGGACACGTACGAATATATAGGAGAAAACTTACCCTTGCTCTTACAATACCAAGAGCTGTTTCGCACCAACCCTCACATGATTAAGGTACTCTCACTCATGTACGAGGACATCCTCAAGTTCCATCGCATTGCCATCCAATATTTCCAGCAGCGTCGTCAGTCAAACCCATATTCCCATGTACGCGCAACACATTACTGAGGTTGTTATAGTCTGGAAGCAGCTGTGGCATGCGACGTGGAAAACCCAACAATCACGTTTCTCCAATATTATTTCAGGTATGGCACGGTATCGTGCTTTAATCGAAAGCCAAGCAGGCCTGGTCCAGATTGCAGATTCCCAGGAATCGCATCGTCTAGTGGACGACTGGCACAATGCCGAAGTGCAATATGAATCCTTGCGCCGATCACGCACAGTTTTCAACTGGCTCAGAGCACCTGATGTTGATGGAAATCAGTATAATTTGACCCAGACGCGAGCAAATAATCCTGGTACTGGAAGCTGGCTTTTGGACAACCAAGCTTTCAAAGATTGGTTCGATCCGAACTACCCCAAAATACCTCCTTTGCTTTGGTTGAATGGGATTCCAGGCGCCGGTATGGGGCCTCTATATGGAATTGGCTAGTCCGAATGCTGAATATCAGATAGGAAAAACTGTCCTCGCATCTCTCACAATAGAGGAAGCCCGAAAGCTCACCCCCAAACCAACGGTTCTTTTCTTTTATTGCAAACACGGCGATCCCGAGCGTAACAGCTTTTTAGCATTGGCGCGAAGTCTGCTCGCCCAAATTTTGGAGCGGGACCAAAATCTCCTTCTTTATTTCTACCAGGAATGCTGTGATAGCAAAGAAGCGGTGCTTACTTCCTCGGAGAAAGTCACCAAGCTTTTGGAATTTGCATTCAAGAACTGCAAGATTGCATATATTATTATTGACGGGGTCGATGAGTGTGAAAGAGACCAACGGAAAAGCATCGCTCAATGGTTCAGAACATTGGTCGAAAGCCTGCCCATTACCGAGCCCTGGAGGCTACGCTGTCTTTTCACAAGCCAAAACGACAGTCTGGCGTGCAAAAACTTCGATGAGATTGCAAGTCTTACTATAGGACCAGATGATATTAAAAATGACCTTCAAGGCTTTTGCCGGCGTGAGGCAGATCAACTGAGAGCTTCTTTGTATATCTCAGAAGACATGACTGATAGTATCGCTGCGATGGTAGCTCAGCAAGCTGGCGGTATGTGGGCAAATTTCACTTGTGAATCTGGCTCGCTAATGGCTTACCAGGCATGTTTCTACTTGCAAAACTGATTTGGTTGAATCTATCCGCACAGACTACAATCGTAGGGCAGGAACAAGAGCTGGATCCAAATATTTTCCCCTCTGGGGTAAATGATGCGTAAGTGCGACTCGTATGCTCCCTCGTTCTCTGTCTTACGTGATAGGTATCGACGGATACTCTCCAGAATAAAAGAAAATACCTCTGGGGCATCAATGAAAGATGCTTTAGCGCTACTCGAATGGCTGGTGTTGGCAAGAAAGCCCCTCAAGTGGCGCGAAATTCAAGTCTTAAAGTCTATGGAAATTGATCAACAATCGATTGATTTCCACAGGCAAGGGTTTCTGGTAAAAGACCCAAGGGACATCTGCGGGTCATTCGTTGAAGTACGGGACGACGGAAGTGTTGAGCTGATCCATTTAACGGCAAGATTGTATGGCCTTGTCTGAACATTTAAAAAGCTTCACTGACAGTATTCTTAATTTTAGATTCTTGGTCAACGAAGGGTTTGTCGATCCATTGCAACAAGGTATCAGAATGGCAACTCGATGTATTAACTATCTGAACTTTCCACTCTTCGTGAACACGCCGCTTGAGCATAATATTCGCCGCGGAGATTATGGATTTATGGAATATTCCATTATCCACTGGGTTCGACATCTTGAAGGAGCAATTGCGGAAGCAAATCGCCGAATCGAAAGAACAAAGGCAGAAGCAACCGGACCTCGTCAAAGTACGCCCGAGGAACTAGATGCACTCAAGCACTACAAAGCTCTGTGTGAAGAAGATTACCCAGGTATTATGGCTCTCCTTGCTGAGTCATTAGGTGTCTTCGTTGATCTGCATTGGTCTCCGCCACAGAAATATCTAGAGGTATCGGCCCGGAATAAAAAAAGGCTCCAAGTCTTCCAAGATGCCACCTTCTATGAGCAGCTGGAGCAAATTGTTGTCTCAACCAAGAAGCAACTCCACTCATTTGGTCAGCTCAAGCAAGAAGGATTTGCACTGAACCTATTCAACCTTGTGGGTGATGTCCGTGAAGTGATAGAAAGAATAGTGTCAACAGACCCGTCGTCTAAAAAGGACATGGTACAGAAATATGGGGACAATCCTGTTCCGATGCCCACATTTCAGCTGCCAATTCTTCTTCTCTGGTTTTCCCTCATCTGAGAAGCGAGATGAACACATCAGCAGACATAATCGAGCATGGAGGTGCAGTGACGAAAAGTGTACTGGTTTTACATTTGGTTTTGTATCAGAGATCAGCCTGAAAAGGCACATGAGGGATGCCCACCCGGATGCGTCGCAGAGCCAAGACTTTCCATCCGACAGAGACATCGAGCTGAGCCTTCGGCAAAGGACACCCATGATGCAAGCTACTCCTCAGCGGGCACCTGAAGTGCAGAATGCACAAGCTGTGCAAGCAACACCTGATATTACAGTTCATACACAAGAGCCATCAAGCTCAGACTCTGAGCCAGAGGTCCGACCCACGAAACGTACGAAGACTCGAGAGAAGCAAGACTTCGAGTGCCCACATTGTGCAAAGGTCTTCAAAAGGCTCTTTAATCTCAAATCTCGCCTCTTGACACACGGCGGATCGTCCGTTTTCGTGTGATATCTGCCAGAAGCGCTTTTCCAGAAAGAATGATTGCAATCGACATAAGAAGATTCATTCAGGCGAGAAAGATTGGGTCTGTGAGGGTTGTCTGGTATCTTTCGTTCGTGCGGACATGCTCAAAAATCACCATCGCGCGCCAATAGGTCAAGCCTGTCTTGCCAAAATCAAAGCCAGAGACAGGGTTTTGTGCCTTGAGTGCGGTTCACTTATGTAAGGAATGTTTTTGTAGTAGGATTTGGTAGATTTAACACGTTTCTTGTTCTTTGAATACTACTTGGAAGTTACGGAGAGGCCTGTAAACTACAGCTTCACGGAAAGATTAAGAGCAGAGCATCGGTTTATGAGGACTCTACTATATCTTCATATTGCTCATTTTTTTACTAAAATCCAGTGGAATGGAACGCTATGCGAAACTCCATTCTTTTCTTCGCAATCCACGACGACCTCGTCAATCTCCATCTCAAAGCCAATCTCTGTGAGAAGTCGTCTCATTTCATCTCTACCCCAACCACTCCAATGCATTGCTCCTTTTGTGCCGCCCAGCCAAGATTGATCAGATGAGCTCGCAAATCCAGTCTCGGGAAAGTTCGCGAGAAGCCTTCCTCCAGGTTTCAACCAATCAAAAATGCGACGGAGAATCGTGGTTTGCTCGTTGCGTGGCAGATGAAAAATTGAATACATGGCCATCACTGCATCGAAATGCTCCTGACTGAATTCCAATTCCATCATGTCTCCTTGTATCAGTTTGACAGACTCAGGAAGCCGCCTTTTCGCCATGGCAATCTGGGTTTCGGATATGTCATTTGCAGTGACGCTGATGTATTCACGCGACGCCAGAAGTTCAGTACACGGTACCCCGGCGCCGCATCCTAACTCAAGGACGCTAATTTGGGAATTTCCCTTCGCCGGGTCAAAGGATCGAAGCATGCGATCGAGATAGGAAAGGCGTATTTTATGAGAAGGCTGTGTCCAGTTTAGGTAGACTTCGGCAATCTCATCATAGGCTTTCTTTATGTCATCCTTGACTTGATGGTTACTGATGGATTCGGACATTTTTATGGCAGAGTAGTTGAGTTGTGGATTTGTAGTGAGTTATAGTGTGCTGGAATGTGAATTTAGAAAGAAAACCATCAAGTGATATTCGCAGCTATTGTATGAGCTCTAATTAACAATGACTCATTCGGTGATCCCCGGGGTCAGAATATGACTGGTTGTACGGGCGAGGTTGTTTTTAACCCCCAATGAGGATTAGTGTAGTTACGAGGCTAGGGTAATTGGAATGTTGTATATTATTATTCTTCTGATTCGAGTACAATTTGGAATGTATTACGGAGTACTATGGCAGCTTTTGTCGGTATTAACATGAATATCCCCAATACCCAAAAAAAGTACCCTACTTTTTCGAGTAAGGCCATTTCCAGTTCCGAATATATTCAGGATCAACCCCGTTATCGAAAGCCTCAGACTTGCCCGCCAGCTGCTCATTGTACAGCTTCTCTCTCACGCCGGCTGCCGTGTTCCCGAGAGACTGAACCAAATCAATGGCAGCCATAGCGAGACTGTATCGATCAGTCTCATTGCGCATAGCCAGCTCAAATGGCGTGTCAATGTTGCCCTTTTCTCTATACCCTCTCACATGTAGGTTATGTTGACCAGGTCGCTTGTACGTAAGTCGGTGGATGAGCCAAGGGTAGGAGTGGAAGTTGAATATGATGGGCTTGTCGGTGGTGAAAATGGACTTCCATCTCTTATCGGACATTCCGTGCGGATGGTGGATGGAGGAAATCAATCGGAATAGATCCACCACATTAACAAAACGAATTTTGAGCTGTGGGAGATGTTCGCGTAGTAGTGCGGTCGCGGCTAGGGCTTCGTGTGTGGAAACATCGCCACAGGATGCGATCACGATATCCGGCTCTGCGCCTTGGTCGTTGCTCGCCCAGTCCCAGATTCCGAGACCCTTAGTGCAGTGTGCGACAGCTGCATCCATGTCCAGGAACTGAATGTGCTCTTGCTTATCGGCAACGATCACATTCACGTAGTTGACACTGCGGAGACAGTGGTCCATCACGGATAGGAGAGTGTTGCCGTCGGGCGGGAGATAGATGCGAACCACCTCAGGGCTCTTGTTAGCCACCACATCGAGGAATCCAGGGTCCTGGTGGGTGAAGCCATTGTGGTCTTGTCTCCATACAGTAGCGGTGATGAGGATGTTTAGCGACGAGATTCGGGCTCTCCACTCCACTTCGAGGCACTTCTCGATCCACTTGCAATGCTGGTTCACCATAGAATCAATGACGTGGATGAAAGGCTCATAGCTGTTGAGCAGTCCATGTCGCCCAGAAAGAATGTAGCCTTCCAGCCAGCCTTCGCAGGTATGTTCACTGAGGATCTCCATCACGCGGCCATCGGGGGACAGATTTCCTCCATCTTTATCCTCTTCGAAATAATCTCCCATCCAGACTTTCTTGCCCGCTTTATACACCTCAGAAAGCTTATTAGACTCAGTCTCATCGGGCCCAAAGAGCCGGAAAGTCTTCATGTTCTGGGCCACTATATCACGGAGGAATTTTGCCATATTGGTCATGCCTCCCTTAATTGTCAACCCTGGAATAATATCCTTGAACCCGTAGTCCCGGAAGTCAGGAATATGAAGCGGCCGGCGTATAATACCTCCATTGCCAACGGGGTTGGCACTTATCCGCGAGTTACCCCTGGGTGCGAGTTCCTTCAGTTCCTGAATCAAGGTGCCATTCTCATCGAAGAGCTCTTCCGGTTTGTAGGACCTCATCCATGTCTCCAACACCTTAAGATGAGGGGGGTTGGTGCGGACATCAGTGATGGGAATCTGGTGCGCGCGCCAAAATCCCTCGAGGAGGTGGCCATCAACCTCTCGCGGAGCCGACCATCCCTTAGGTGTGCGAAGAACGATCATTGGCCATCGGGGTCGGAACGGGGTCTTCGTCTCTCGGGCTTTCTTCTGGTGCTCTTTGATCTCAGTGACACATTGCTCGAGTGTAGCCGCCATGGCCTGATGCATACTGTCGAAATCACTTCCCTCCACAAAGTATGGTTTCCATCCATAGCCAGCGAGCAAAGATAAAAGTTCGTCGTGACTAATTCGCGCAAGCACCGTCGGGTTGTTGATTTTGTATCCGTTGAGATGGAGAACAGGAAGGACTGCTCCGTCGTTAATTGGGTTCAGGAACTTCGTGCTATGCCAGCTGGTTGCAAGTGGGCCAGTCTCGGATTCGCCATCTCCAACCATGGTCAAAGTAATGAGATCGGGGTTGTCAAAGACCGAGCCAAAGGCATGCGAGAGTGCATATCCTAGCTCACCTCCCTCGTGGATACTGCCAGGTGTCTCGGGAGTCGCATGGCTTCCAATACCACCAGGGAAAGAGAATTGTTTGAAGAACTTCTTCATGCCCTCCGCATCCTCGCCTTTATCCGGGTAGACTTCCGAGTATACACCCTCAAGGTAAGATTGTGATATGATTCCGGGGGCACCATGCCCGGGACCGGAAACGAAAAGAACATCGAGGTCGTACTTCTTGATGAGACGATTCATGTGCATCCAAGTGAAAGATTGCCCGGCATCGGAACCCCAATGACCCAAGAGCCGGGCTTTGAGATGCTCCAGCTTAAGAGGTTCTGTGAGGAGTGGGTTGTCACGAAGATAGAGCATGCCCAAACATAGATACATGCTGGCACGAAACCAGGCGTTCATCTTACGGATTGTCTCAGCATCGAGAGGCTTCCCTTCCACTGTTGAACGAGCCTCTCCATAGGCGGAGATGCTCTTTTCACCCGACTTTGAAGCCATGTTGTGTACCCCTGCTGAATCTGGGATGTTGCACAATACGTACGGAAAACAATCTCACGGTGTGGTAACTCCGGGAATCAGAGAAAGATGGTAAGGTTGCATACACTGGAGTTATAGATGTTCAGATATCATAAAGTCAATGAAAGAAAATGATTGCAAGTCAGGGAAGACACCGGATATATTTTTTCTTAATAACCAGGATAATCATCATAGCCGATCAATGACGTGTGGTTTAATAACAAGCGGACCATCAGGTTTTCGCGGTGCTAGTGCTATGTGTGCATGGATAAGCATGAATCATGGCCCACTACTATGCTGTGTAGATTATAACCATGGTCAATATTCATGATTGTTCATAAACTGTTGGTCAGCCCTATGATGTAGTTACGTAGTTATGCTGTAAGTGTGGAGGAAGCAATGTATATAACATAGTGTAAGTGTCATTGAGTTCGGAGCTTAGATAGTCATGTCTTGGCATTGCATGTCGACACCTAAGGCCACAATCCAGACTATGCTAATTCTTGCTAGCACCATTGAGGGATATGCCATTTCAAGGGTTATATACAGAAAATCCTCTTACACAAAGTTTGTCTCAGCCAGTCACACATCTTAACAAAAGATTTTTCAGTGCACATAGACCATGTGTATATACCGGAACAGATTAAAATCAAACTCTAACATACTATGCTTTATAATATCCTATCGTTGATGTCGCCATGGAGTTCCCATAATTCTCTTGAGGCTGATTGTGCACTCGCTGCAGGCACAGCAGCAGTCGGCGTACAATACTGACACTTGTGGAATTAGTGTTTAGGTGGGCCTGATACTACCCCACACCCGATCCACAACCCGACATTACCCTTCCACGTGACTATATCCCAACGAGTATAGAAGGTTAATATTGAGGGTGCATAGCCAAGGTAGGCATATAAATTGTAGACCCGCAGTTCTAGGGGATCATATCGTCTTCAACCCATTAATAACAAAAACGAACCTAGCCAGAAAAAAGTCACAATCACACAATGGAATAGCATACTTTCTATAGAACCGCCCTTCAATTTAAAAAGTCTCCACCTGTCTCCTTCAAAATCAGTCGATACTCGGGTTCGAATTGCATATACATGATCTCAGGAGTACCTGTTCCTTTCTTGGTGTAGAGTGCAACTTCATCGTCCACTAATGTCTTCTTCAAGACTCCTTTGCTTGCACCTATCGACCCCGGTGCGGTCGACGATTCCACCAGGATTTGGGTCTGACATGCTCTCTCCAAGGCAATGAAAAATGCTGCAGCTTCTGCAACTGTTCCTCCAGCAGTAAGCAATCCATGATTCTGCATTATCAAATTCTTGTTTTTGGGACCAAGGTAATCAGCAATACGTTGACCCTCTTCCTGTGCAAAAACAACACCTCCAAAAGCTGGATATACTGAAAGATCATCGTAAAACATGCAAGAATCTTGAATGTTGGAGTGCTGTTAGCAGGACTGTGGATGTTGATCATGTGCTGGTTTTACCTTGATTCAACATCTCAATTCCCCTGCCAAAGGTGCTCCAGGCTCTTCCGAAAGGACTGTGCATATGACATGCCGCATGAATATCCGGTCGTCTCTGGTGGATTGCTGAATGAATAATAAACCCAGCTGTATTAACAGGCTTATTTGCGCCAGCGACCCTGTTTCCTTGTTCGTCTACCCGCACCATATCAGAGACATTTAGAAGGGCGAAGTGTACTCCGTATGGATTGATCCAAAACGTGCGGGGCTCGACAGGATCTTTGGGCTGTCAGAACAGCCAAACGAACAACAACCGCCATTGTCAGTATACAATAAATCCAACAAAGCAAGCATACCTCGGAGACTAATATGGCCACTGCTACCATCTGAGAATCCTAATTTGGCGAATATGCGAAAAGCACCCGCCATCTGCTCGAGAAGCCATTGTCGCTCTTCTTCTTTGTTTGTAGGCCTTGGAATGTGATGTAACCTGTTTACTTCACCGTTGTCGCTTGTTTCGGTGTTTAGAGCAGAAACAATCCGCTTCGGATCAACGGTATTCACAAATGATGACATTTTGTGCACTTTTGGCTTGGATAAATAAGTACTGCAATGCTAGTTTGACGATGCGGAAAATAACCGAGGCAAATATATGTTAACCCCGCAGACCCGTTGACTCATGAGATTATATTAGTTATTGCGTTATTGCGTTATATCCTATCAAAACAGGGGCTAAGACTGCATCTGTCTCTAAATGAACAAAAATCATCTATTTGTCCTACTGGTAGGTACACAAATCCATACTTACAGTCGGCGGTTACTTTTTTCTCAACCTTTTCGGCGGGGTATATGGCTGAGTTCATTGCATTCGAGTAATTTACCATATTATTTCCATGATATTAGATTAAAACCCTAGGTTACGCAACACCGAAGTGATACACTAATGTAGTATACGTTGAACCTAACAGTCAAAATTAGGTTTACCAATTCAAATAGCGAAATATAAGGGGAGTTCAAAGCAAAGAAACAAGGACGAATACCAAAAAAAGCAACCAAAAGTATAGCAGCAGACAAATATATAATGCACACAAAAAGGCTTAACCACACATTGTTTGATAAATTAAAGCAAACTTTGCCCTGTTGCCAGATTTGGGTCAAGATGAGGAAAGTCTGCGACGGGATGAAGCCTTCCAGATCGGAAGGGCGCGGTCAATTGTGCCGATGTCGCGGTAGGAAGAGTCCTCTGACCCTGCGGTATCCCAGGGTTATAGTTAAAAACCCAAAGACGCATCGACTGATCAGGACAAGTTCCAGTGTAAAATCTGTGTCGCAGCCATGACCCACTCAAACGGTCAGCTCCAGCTCTCGTTGATTGACCAGGCTGGATAGAAGCTGGAATCGCATGCCAGTCGGGGGACATCCAAGCCGATTCATCTGTGCTCCACATGTTGACTTCCAATTCTCTAAATAGTGAGGTGACCCGCCTCCCGTCTGCGACATAAAGAACTCCAACACCCAAGCATCGGGGCAAGGGGTATGTCTGTCCATCGCCACCCAGATTCCGAAGAATGTTGATGTCGTCTTCATATAAGCTCAGATGTGTAGAGCCTGTGTCATCCATAAACGGGAATTCAAAGCTCGGTAGCCAGGGTGATGGTTTATCATCTTTCTTATCTTTTTCATCTTTCCCGTTTTGTCCATCTTTTCCATTGTCCCCTTTTTTTACTGCAACCGCCGGATCCCGGGGGATTCGAAGACTAAGTCTTACCTAATGAATATAATGAGAAATCGCACGCAGAAAAAGTGGCCAATATGGCGATTTAGAGGGGAATAGCTACCATTGTGGCATTCACACGCGGATCCGGTTGGCATGCCATCCAAGTCTTGCTCATGCCAGGCGCAGGCCCGAGAATCTGAACACTTGGTTTCAGTATAATGCAATCAAAGGGTTTTAGACAAGACATACACCTTCGACCCAAAACCCTTCATGTCCCTGGCATTTGTCATGAGTGTAGCGGTATTCGTCCCAATGGAATGGTCTCGGCAGACAGAGCTGAACTCCAGCATGCCAGTAGGTGACAAAGTCCGGCGTCCAATCCAATTCACCTAATCGATATTGCACTATGATGGCCTTTACTGTATCGACCATTTTGTGTACGTCGTTTCCCTCCACGAGCCAGGCCAAAGTATATTTGAGATCGTCTAGGCGTTGTACCACGGGCCAACTTAAACCCGGCTCTGTAGCCATCAGAGTACTGAGTAGAAGGAAGGAGATTAATCTCTACCAAAGGATTTGGAGTTATAGGATGACTCACTTGCGTTCCGTCTGCTTTGCCATAAATTCGTTCATTTTATGTTGATAGACATGAGGCATGATGTTCTCTGAGATTCGTTCAAGACACCTTTCGATCTGAGATTCGAAGTCACTGCATAACAAAGGTAAATCACCAGGTATAAAATTGAATAGTGAATCCAGTGCTAGATAGCCAGAGCAGGTGGGACTTACTCAGACTTCAGATCAGGCTCCTCTGGGTTCCAGCCTTTAGGTGCATTTTCTCGCTCTGTGATAACACCTTCGACTTTTTGCCATTGCTGCTTTTTAGGCATTTGTGGCCTAAGCTTCTTTCTTCTTTTCGAGTAATCAACGTTGAGGTCGGCTGCGAGAAGTTCCTCGTCCAAGATTTGTGGGATTTCCATTTTTGTCTTCTTCTTTGGAGTTGATACCTCTGCATCTCCCTTTGAGACATCTTTCTTCCGTTTTCCATTAGCGCTTTTACCGTCAGGCTTTGCAGCCCGAGGAAGGATAATCCTTGGAGGCATCTTGCAACAGAAAAGATAGTTACGCCCAAGGTGGTGCTTTCTCTACGTGACTAAGAAGTCAATGAGTTTGCATGTATAAATAATGGATATAAGGACAGAATTACGAAGGTATTTGTATTCCAAGCATTTTCTTTACACGCCGAATCCATCGCACTGGGTGGAGCACAACTATGCGATGTCAAAGAAAACTGGAAGGTCGTAGATGAGATACAGCAAAAATGGCAGAATATGCTCCTGGGTTAAGTTCGACTTTCGACTCTCTTTTTCACCTTGTTCATTCAACATAGTTTTTGAAACACCTCATTCAATGTGCTCTTGGAGGGCGTACTCTCAATGAATCTGACCTCAACGGTTCCTCCAATATACTTTTAGCTTTTTTCTTTGATGGTCCATGGAATTTTTGGTGCTTTGTTACGCTCCGTCTGGGCATTTCTTCCTTTTTATACTAGATGCAAACAGGCTTCAAAGCGGCTGATTTTCTCAAAGAGAAATTTGTGGATTCAAGCCCAAAGGTTCAGAGCCTTCACTTCGGTTGATATAAAGCCACAGAAGACATCGACTCGTCCCATCTACCTTAGACCCTGTATATGGCCAAAACGAGAGCTGAAAATAGATTGTGGGGGAATATGGTACATGTCTCAGGATAAGAAAGCGTAGAAGGGAGAGCCATGGAGGGGAACAAAGAAGACCTGACTCTTGCCCTGTCTATCATTTACACAGCTCATCTCTTTAGTTAGTTAGTTACCTAGGTATTCATATTATATAATTTCTATCGTAGGGTTAGCCGGTTGTTGAGTCTCGTTTAGGCCTAGTATACAGTAACAAATTCTCATATCAATAAATATGTTAGATGGGCGAAAAAGAGGCGTGTCAACTAAAAAATTATGTTTCAATCAACAAGATCACCAATCATCCCAAAGTTGTCTGTGAGATAGCCACAATACCGTACCGTACAACATACACCTCTGTGTATATGAATACCCACATATTCAACCCCACAGCTCCAATCTCCGAAACCGGGTCCGAAAACAATTCTGGCTAGAGGTTTCTGGGCTAATTTTCATGTCATAAGCAAGCTTCTTTTGGCCCGATATTTGAATCTTCGGGGGGTACCCAGGGTTGTTTCGCAGGAGCATCAAGATGAACGAACCCAAGCCGACATCAGTCCCACTCCCCAATTCCGAGCAGTTCTTCCTGAATAGCGATCAGGGTGAAAGATACCTGATTCAAGTGTCTTGGCCGCTGCATTGGGAGAGTGACAGCACTTCTGCTCGCGGTTCATTTCCCATCATGTAAGTGCCCGCTGACGATCTGCAGCCTTGCAAAAGAAAAGAAAAGCGCGTGTTTACGAAATAATATTAGATATATTGTCGATGGAAATGCTCTATTCTTGACTGCAACTGAGGCTGCCTGGCGTCGCGCGCCTGCGTCGCATTTCGCCGGTGGGGGCATCATTGTCGCTATCGGATACCCATTGAACAGAGAGCTTTATGATATGCGACGACGCACCCTTGATTTATCTCCACCAGCGGGAACACCAGTTACCGGGCATGGAGGCGCTGATATATTTCTTGACTTTATTCAAAGTTCAGTGCGGCCCGCGGTAAAGGCCCGATTTCCGCAGGTCGCTGTCTCCAGAGAAGCACTCTACGGTCATTCTTATGGGGGGTTACTTGCGCTACACGCATTATTTACTCGCCCTAGTTCATTTGATTGCTATATGGCCAGCAGTCCCTCCATCTGGTGGAATAACAAAGTCATTTTGCAGGAGGCAAAGGCCTTTCTAAAAACGGAGCCTTTGGTCGAGAATTTGCCTTCGCTTATGGTCTTCTGGGGCTCAGTCGAACAAAATCCTCATCAGTGGGATAATGAACCTCTGGAAAAATATGAATCAAGAAAGGGAATGGCCTCGGATTTTAGAATGGCTGACAATGCTCTCGACCTCTGTGGGATGCTACGAGGTTGCAAACAGTTGCATACTGTCCTGGCGAATGAGTTCGACGGGGAGGAACACACAAGTGTGATGCCGTGCTCAACAAATCGGAGCTTGACAATGTTCTTTGAAGATTGGCCTTTGCATGAGTCATAGAGAAGTTTCATGAATTGCAGACGAATTCTACGCATAGATGGAACGGTGATTGATAAAATAATGTTCTAACGTATTGGCGGAGATATGTTCTCCGAATTATCACCATTTGCCGCTTCGGGTAAATTCATAAAAGGCTTTCCATCTAGGGATTTGGGGGCCATTCAGAGTTGAGGGTCTGTCCACCGGAATACGGAAGCGATCGGGCTGGGCTTGAGCTGGGCTCGGGGTCTGGATATCGCCCCAGTAAGCCTGCGGATGAAAAACCTAGCTTTTTGTTCATGTTCTTTGTATTTCTACTTTTGCAAATAAATAAGCGGTTGATTATTACATTAAACTGGTCTTTGACTTACACATAATGAGCACTTTCAAGGATTAGCACGCACATGGGTATCCCCTCGGCAGCCCCAACTTAAAAATACCAAAAGAGGCTAGCCCTCGGAGATTACCACACCGCTAACCTTAACTAATCTAATCTGATCCCCGTACCAATACGGTACGGGACATACATCGGACAGTAGCCCGGAAGCAACCATTTCATTAAGTTAGGAAAACTTAATCCCACATGGGGCTTGAATAGATTTCAATACTTCACGCATTAAACGCTATCCTCAACTTGAAAGGGTGCACTTGAGCATATTACTATGCAGCAAATCTTCAGTCTGGCTATTCTCAGTCACATTGAAAATATCTATGAACTCCCAATGAGGGCCTGGGCCAAGATTTAGCATTCCAAATTCCGAAATAGGACTTTGCATGTATAAGTTTTTCCCTCCGACTGAGCCTTATCTGTTTGGTTCCATAAAAAATGGCGGAATTTATCATGCCTTGAACTCGCCAAGGTCTGAAAATCTTCCTTAGAAATATTATTATTAGATGCCCAGCTCAGACGATTCGGGATTTAGGCTTAGGGCCAAGATAACTTGATTCTTTTGTCTCAAAGTCACTTGGCAAACACACGACCAGCGCTTTGGCCATATTTGTGAAACCACAAAATAAATTGGAATAATGGCGCCGAAGCCCCCAATATGCTGTTTACTCTGCCAGGACCGACTGAGTAGGGGAAAAAAAATACATAGCCCTAAGAAATGATTCAAAGTATAGATGTTCTTGGTGAGTATAGCCTTGGATAATATCCATGCTTTGTTCTAACGTTAGACGCTAGGCATACCTAAGTAATTATGTATTGTTTGGTAAGTTTTCGTTATGTGGGATAACCCTTTTCGGTATTCTGTCGCCGGCAATTGATGGTCCGATTTTCTCTCGTTTTTCTCCTGTATTCATAGCGTTCTAACGTAAAGACGTTAGAGCGTCTGGCTTAGGATGTAGTATTTAATGTCTAGCTCTTCTCTCATTTTGAGTCGATCGTCCCGCACCCAAATTTCTCTGCCGCGGAGAAAAGATGGCGATCATGAGCAGATTCCATCGGATAGTTGGGAATAAGTCTGCAGAGACTGAGGCTACCTCACCTGATGATCCAATTGCCCTGCAGGCGAGAGCCGATGACAAAGAAGCTGGACATGCTCCCATCGATGATATGATTGGCAAGGAGGAAGCCAGGCCTGCCGAAGATGCCCAAGCTGGTGTTCAGAAGATTGAGGCTGTCACTCTGGCCTGGGGGAAAGGCTCGATGCTCATGGTTCTGATATTGTATGTGTCCCTGTCCGCGTTACATTATTTGGTCTTAGCAGCTCACGTCGCCCTTTTCCAACAGTATTTGGCTACTCACGCTGGTGAATAATCTCAAGACTTCGGTGGTCTACAGCCTAAGCGCTTATGCGACAAGCTCTTTCGCGGGTCATTCGCTTTTGACAGTCATCGGTATCGTGGCATCTTCTATGACAGGCGCAGTGTATATTCCTATGGCGAAGGCGTTGGACCTCTGGGGCCGTGCGGAAGGTATTCTTCTAATGACTGGGTTCTGTATCCTGGGAATAGTGATGTTGGCTGCATCCCGTAACCTACCTACTTACTGCGCTGGACAGGTAAGAAGGGACTTAATACCCACGCCTTCATTCCTGCTAGTATCTGACACCATTTACTGCAGGTATTCTACTCGGTCGGATTCGGAGGTCTCGCATACAGTTGGAATGTTCTCGCAACTGATGTGACAAACTTGAGAAACCGAGGGTTGGCTTTTGCTTTTACCTCATCTCCGGCAATAATCTCAGCGTTCGCTGGTTCTAAGGCCGCTGAAGGATTTCTCGCCAATGTCAATTGGCGATGGGGCTACGGAGTCTGGGCAATTATCTTGCCCGCTTTCGCTTTGCCGATATATTTCATGCTGGCCTATAATTTACGCAGGGCTGAGAGGGAAGGCATTCTCGTCAGAGAAAGAAAGGCCTTGAGATTTAATTTCGAAACAATTTGGTGGTTTATTAAAGAGTTTGATTGTGAGTTACCATATCGGCGTTTTGCGGGAAGTCATTGCGGGATGCTAATTCTTATCTCAACAAATAGTGATGGGCGTTTTTCTATTCGCTGGCGGCATGGTGGTATTCCTCCTGCCATTCACTCTGGCTAGTATGGCACCCCACGGTTGGCAAACCGGCTATATCATTGCGATGATTGTGGTTGGGCTGGTCTTGCTTATCTCATTTGGTTTCTATGAGACTTACCTCGCCCCGGTGCCATTCTTGAACTATAAGTTCCTCACCGATAGGACCGTTCTAGGAGCATGTCTCCTAGACATGACATACCAGATATCTTACTATTGTTACGCCGTCTATCTCCCGTCATTTTTGCAAGTGGTGTACAATTTGGATGTAGCCACAGCTGGATACGTTGGAAACACTTTCAGTGTCGTGGCATTTGTCTTCCTGTTCTTCGCTGGCTGGCTCATTAGAGTGACAGGTCGCTTCAAGTGGATTCTCTGGGTCTGTGTACCTCTCTACATCTTTGGACTCGGCCTGATGATTCACTTCCGTCAACCTGGTGGATACATTGGATATATTGTCATGTGTGAGGTCTTTTTCTCCGCCGCCGGCAGCGTTTTCATCCTGTGTGTGCAGCTTGCTGTCCTTGCTTCGGTCGATCACCAACACGTTGCTGCAGTACTTGCCTTGCTTTTCGTGATGGGAAGTATCGGTGGATCTATTGGCAGTGCTATATGTGGAGCTATTTGGACAAATACGTTCTTGAAAAAGCTTGCGGAGACCTTACCAGAGTCAGCCATGCCTAATTTGTCTCTCATTTACTCGAGTCTTCCCCAGCAGCTCAGTTATCCAGTTGGAAGCCCCGAGCGAGACGCCATTGTGGAAGCCTACGGCTATGCCCAACCAAGGATGCTTGCAGCGGGTACCGCATTCATGGTTTTGGGCTTCATCTGGGTTGGCATGATGAAAAACCTGAACGTCAAGAATATGACGCAGACAAAGGGTAACGTTTTTTAATGGGGAAAGATCATTCCAAAGACGAGTGAGCAAATTGTGTATTGAACTGATGGCACTGATAAGAACCAATTCTATACTGGATCTCCATACTCCTTCTCGGTTCTTTTCATGTATTTTAATGATATCCGAAACAATATCTCCAGAAGACTCCTACTGCTGCTTCTGGCAATTTTCTGTGAGTTCCAGCCATGCAAAATCATATAGTTGAACACAGATACACATCAAGCAGGTAAATATGGGTTGACAAATAAATAAAGCGTAAAATCAGAGAAGGGTCAGGACGGTGGACTGGGGAAGTGATCAAAGCCACCTAGAGCTGAGGGACACAATCCAAGCCCTTTCTGAGGTCATTCACCTTACTGCTCGTAGTATGTCGCGATCAGATGAACTGGAGACTGTTGTTGCTAGTGAAAGTCTCAGTGCCTGTTGCCTTTATTACCGGTGCAACGCCATATGAAAGCTCCTTGGGCAAAGTCATACCATCGGACTCAGAATCACTTGTAATTTTGGAAAGGCGAGTACAGAATTTCCCCATAGCAAAGGGGATGATCAGTTCCACTTTGGTCGTTACATAGTAGTACTGTCATCATGTCAATATGTCAATGTTATCTACCTTATTACATGCGTCCATATGGATATGTTGACCATCTTCCGTATTCAGCCCAGACTTACTTTTATAATCGGGAGATTCTGCTAGGGAGATCTCCAGTGATACACTGCGGGTTTCCTCACCGCTAGTCTACTAAATATCTAATCGACTTGATATTGATTGGGCTAATCAAGGCAACATATACTCAGAAAATCCACGTTTGTGATTGTGGTATGGCCTATCTCGGTGAGATTCATCCCTCACTCCACAACGATGGTCTATGAAAGGCAAGGTTTAGTCCATTCAGTACACAAACACAACCATTCTATAGCACTAGTTCCAAGTACCGAATCTATCTGGTTCGAAGCTACATTCATCGCTTTCATTATCATAAAGAAAAAAGAATCATCAACCATAACAAAAGAAAAGAATCATCTGATGTACATAGAATTCATAAAAAAAAAAGACCAGGTATCAACCCATAAGCAAGCCAAAGATTGGAAAACTCCTCTAAGCAAACCGAAAGTAAAAAGTAACCAAAAACCAAGAGAATTGGAAGCAAAAAGTGATCACATTCTGAGACGATTTAAACCAAGAAGAGAGAGACATCCAACCCCTCACGAAACAACTCATGGCCTCTCTTCAAGAGGAACGAGGGCGTTGAGCTGACGGAGCTCCCACAGGCTCCTGTATTAACCAAGCCAGTCAGTAATTAAGCTTCTTGAAGATTTTTTGACGAAGTAGAGTACGAACCGAGCTAGCACGACGCTTGCGTCTATTCCTTTCTTCAGCCCTGCCGTTGGCAGTCTCATTCTGAGACTTCTGAACCTCGCCTCCTACGCAAATGTTGTTATTTTGGCCATTTACCCGAATTCCCGCGAGAGCGCGAATGTTGATGGGTCGAGGGTAGCCCATATCATCGTGAAGGGCATTTGCGCGGTTCAGCGCAGCGATGATGACAGCGGCTATGGAGCTCAGGCGAGGAGATCCCTGGGCACCCTGGTGAGTTGGATCAGTCGGAGAGTCAGCCCCAGACGACACCAGGATGGTGTTTTCATCACCAGTAACGGTGATTGAGTTGTCGATGTAAATATTGATTGGGGAGGCCCACGGGTCATCCATGTCGTTCTGGTCGACGCTCATGACGGTTGTGCCACTAGGTCTGGTGACAGATAAAGTGTATGGAGGTGGGGCAGTGCCTGGGGTGGAAGTAGAGGTAGGTGTGGATGTAGATATAGAAGTATTGCGATTAGCCCGGACTTCGGCGAGCTTATTTAGGTGGTGCCGCAAAGAGTCTGACGGGGGCAACATTGTGAAAGTTAGGTTAGTTTTTGAGCGTTGGTGCTGATATGAACAGAGTGAAGAGAAGGGCAGCGGGTTTCCCAGGTATTTAAGGTCCAGTGTTTGTTCATTTCGTTTGAATGGGCGCAAACAATAGGAATGAGGACAATCAATAGACAATCAATAGACAGCCAATCAGAGGCTATCCGGGGCCATTGACTTGCCTAATTGGGAATCGTCAATGGACGGTCTATTGTTCTCAATAGGGATCACGTGATTGCTATTGTTCATGGGGGGTATCAATAGATTAAAAGCTATGTACCGGGTACCTATATCATAGTAGGTACCCCCGTAGTCAAGAATGTACCTCTACATTCAGTACCATGGTTTCGCTAGTGTAGAAAATGCGCCTCCAATTCTCTTCTCAAAAAGCAAGTCGGAACGCTGCGCCGGTCCACAAGCCCCTGACTAGGGAGCAATCCTTCGTAGAGTTCGTTTGTGTCACCATAACCAAACGGACTAGATCCCAGATCATCGGATGCTCCTTCTTCGGTCAGTCGGGAATCTTTGCTGATGCCTACACCATCTGGGAAGTGGGCACGTCTGGTCAGGTTATTGGCTAGTTTTTCATAGACGCAGGGTATCAGACCCTACCGACAGGGTTGTTTGGCTCCTTACTGCTAGACGGCATATCGGAACCAGGGGGGTTTGTGTAGGGTTGGCCCGGGTAGTATCGCCCACCTGGGTGAAGAGATTGCGCCGTCTGCAAATGGTTATTAGCGAGGACAACAGCCCTTGTAGATTTCCCGAGTTATACCGGTGTTTCTGTCGCGTCCGACATCCAAACCGTTACGGGTTGGTACTGACTTCGCGGAAATCATCTCCTGCAACTTCCACCTCGCGATCTCGAATCCGGCGCATCAACGCCAGAAAATTACTTTGTTGGAATTTTTGGCTTTGTTCGTTTCGCACGCTGTCGAGCAGCTGCCCCGCTGTCCGCGCAAGTTCATCTGCATCTCGACTCTGTGTTTCTGGATCCTGCTTGTCACTTTGAGGGATAAGATCCGATCCGAGTCGAATCTGCTCTTGAGCGACTGGTTCGGTAACTTCGACTTCGTTGGTCTCCTGCAAGTGCTTCTGTGTATCTTGCTGAGCAACATCGACTGCTTGCAACTCCATGTCCGCCCGTGCCTGATCAAAGGCAGCCTCAAAGGCGGATTCGTCAAACTGCTGCGTGTGCTGTTGTTGCTCGGTCTGCATAACCTGCGGGGGCTGCATCTGATTCATGGACGAGCCATACATCTGGTAGCCTGGTGCAAAAGACGGTTGATAGGCACCATGCATTTGCGGCGTTTGCTGGATCTGGGACATAGGCCCTCGTTGTTGAGTCATGAATTCAGTATGCCACCCGCCATTTGTCATCGCTGGTGCCATATTTGGTCTTTGTAGTTGCGCTACTGGATGTGAGGGCCCCGATATCTGCAAGTTCTGGAAGTCCGCCGCCCAACTAGCGTTACCTGCACCGTGTGCGGCTGGGTGGTGTACCGCCGCATGATGTGATGGTGCTCCAAAATGGGCGAGATGTTGCAAGTTGGGCAATGCAGGGCCGGCGAGGTTGCCTTCGAATGCGGCAAACTCCTGGTCGAGTATTCCTTCTTGGGGGTTCTGGGATCGGAAGCCCTGCAGTATGCTTTTAGTATGAAATAAAACTATCTGATCTCAAATGCACTACAAACCTGAACAGGCGATTGACGTGAAGTCAACCGGTCTTGCTGAAGGGTCCGATCAACAGATGTATGCTTCTGGAAGTTCTGAAGGGCGTTTGACGGCCCGCATAAGGCATCACCCATTATGACTTGCTTAGATCGACCAAAACGGAGCGAGAAGTGTAATAGTGTGGTTTCTGTCTTCAAATCTCTCTGAAATCAGTTGCCCAGCACAAATTACAGCAATAATAGCAATGAAAAGTGTTGAACTTCAGAAGAAACTCCCGCGCCACGTTCACCGTGGGGTTACCGACGACCGAGGCCCATCACGTGCATAGATCCAGGTAACGTGACCTAGCTAGGCGCACGATAAGATACGGGAAGGGCCAGGTTGTTTGGCTGAAAGGGAGAGAGCTGCTCCGACTCCCCGCGCTTCCACAGCTGTCAAGTTTATTGTTTGCTCTATTTAATCCAACATGGTAATTTCTATTCAAATATACGGCTTTGAGCTTGTTTCACAATCCCATCACTAACAGCTTCAAACCTCCAGGCGACCCCTCAGGTGATCTCGAATTCCGGACACGAAGAGATGATTGTATGTGCTGCTATACGAACTGCAATTGGTGGTCTATATGGCCACACGATGTACTCAAGCTAACTGCTTTATGTGGAATATAGCATGATGCTGGATTGGACTATTACGGCCGCCGGTTGGCCACATGTTCGTCCGACAAAACGATAAAGATCTTTGAGATTGAGGGAGATTCACACCGACTAGTCGAGACGCTGAAGGGGTAAGCTGGTCTTTTTGATGTGTGCAGCTGAGTAGCTGGTCACTGACATGGATATTTGATAGCCACGAGGGCGCTGTGTGGTGTGTCGCATGGGTGAGTGATAGCCTAAAACATCAGCCATTGCAGCGCGCAATCCGACTAATCATGCGATTATCCCAACCTAGGCCCACCCGAAATTCGGCACAATTCTGGCCTCATCTTCCTACGATGGCAAGGTTCTGATCTGGCGGGAGCAGCCCCAGAATGCGACCTCGCCCTCCGGTGGTAGCACATGGACCAAGGTCTTCGATTTCTCCCTTCACACGGCTTCCGTGAACATGGTCTCCTGGGCTCCTCATGAGAGCGGATGTGTTCTTGCCTGTGCTTCTTCCGACGGCCATGTCAGCGCGCTCGAGTTCCGTGACAACAACTGGACCCACCAGAGCTTCCATGCCCACGGAATGGGCGTCAACTCGATCAGCTGGGCCCCTGCAGCCTTTGCTGGTAGCCTCATTAGCTCTAACCCCGGACCCGGCCAACAACGCCGGTTTGTCACCGGTGGTAGCGACAACCTAGTCAAGATCTGGGAGTATAAGTATGTTGATTGATGGACCTTGCCAGGCATACAGCTATGACGTGAACTGACTCAATTCTCTTTAGCGCGGAGTCCAAATCGTACAACCTCACCCAAACCCTCGAGGGACACTCAGACTGGGTCCGTGATGTGGCATGGTCCCCGAGCATTCTCTCCAAGTCCTACATCGCCTCCGCCGCGCAAGACAAAACCGTTCGTATTTGGACCTCTGATGCTTCCAACCCGGGCCAGTGGTCCAGCCAAACATTGGAGTTCGATACCGTTCTGTGGCGCGTTAGCTGGAGTCTCAGCGGCAACATCCTTGCCGTCAGTGGTGGTGATAACAAGGTCAGTTTGTGGAAGGAGAACCTCAAGGGGGAGTGGGAGAAGGTCAAGGATATCGAGGAGTAGTGGCTGTTTTAATTTCTATCTGTCATCTATTCCCTTCCTCAACGCATAATTTTCTTCTGTCTAAAAGCTATGTTGCTTGTTACCATAAATATTGATTCATTCCTCTGCGAGAATCCTTGGTTAATTTCCAGTACTTTGGGCGAGCCTGCTTTGTTTCATCCCCGATATCATCCGCCGCTCAGCTCCCATAAAAATGAAATGAAAGAAAGAAACAAAAAAGATCAAAGAAAGGCAAACGAGAAGGGTATAGAACACGTCGGTTGTGGCTTTCACACGTCCCAGAAGATGAATGGGCCTCTGGCATATGTTGCCTTCATATCCAACCACCGTCCCAGCATCACGCGTCCACCAGGAATGATGGCACCTTCATAGCCATGGATCCACCCCTCGCCCTCCATCAGGAGAGAGGGAGTCTTTTCCTCGTCGTCCTCATCGTCCTCATCATCCGCATCCCCTTCGGCGAGGATAAAACAGATCCGCATCCATCCCTCAAAGCCACCATGTGGGCCAGCAATCTCTTCGGTAAACCCAAACACATGGCTTCCTGCCTCATCGGGGCTACTATAGGCTCTCTGCTTGCCCTCAAAATATGTTCGCTTGGTATCGGGACCGCCAGCGAGGGGCATGATCTTGCTGCATTGCTTGGGCCAGAAATGTTCGGAGGGTTTGAGGTCAAGGGCCTTGACATTTGTTAGCCTAATGGGTCATGGCCTTCCAAGCAACTCATCTTCCACTCACCATTGGGTCGATCACCTCGCCGTGTATCTCGAGATCAGCGCATGTCTGGCGGTCGGGCTTCTTCAGCAGGTCTGACACAGGATGAATGCACGCTAATCGGAAATTTATGTCAGATTAGGGTAATGCGTGATTTGGATTCTGTTGGTATACTCACAGTAGTATCCTAGCCACGATGGGCTTAATTTGGATGCCTCGGTTGGAATCTCCTTTCGCACTTTGGGCTTCACATATTCAGGGAGCTCAGAGAAGTCCTCTTGGAAGGACAACTCGACAGGGTGTAAGACGTGACGCTGCCAGAAATGGCGAATGTCCAGCAGTCTGGCGAGGTCAAGGTTCTCGTGGTCGATGAATGGCTCGCCCACCTCGTCTCCATATGAATAGACCTCTTTCAGGTTGTAGTCGGTTCGACGACACGGTAGGGTGAGGTCTGGGTTGAGAGCAAATGAGCTTAGGCACTGTGTGTGGCAAATATCAGTGAATGTCCCGTCCTTTATTCGACGAGAACGCGCGTACCAGCTGGAGAGCACAAAAGAGTGGCGAGGGAGTTTGGTGGTTCTGAAACTCGCATAGGAAATTTACCCTTTGGAGGGTCTCATGTATACGTTGCAAGGTCTTTGGGGTGTCTCCAGGAGCGATGGAAAGTGTCAGAGCCTCTTTGAGCATACTTTGAATGACCTCCATCCAGACGTATTGCTGTTCATCTTCCTTCTCTTTGAATTGGATCGAGGACCTCAGCACAAGCGCGCGGATCTGGTATTCGATCTTCAAATCCCCAGAAGTTTTTCCCGGGACAATGTCGTAGTGTTTACCAAAGCGGTCTCTCCAGATGGCGGACTCCGATCCGAAGACCTTGTTCCATATATCTTTGCAGGATTGGGAGAGATGGAGAACATCACAATCTTTGGGGAGGTAGGATGTAATATCCTGGAGAATCTGTTCATCTTAAATATCAATAGCGGCAATCTACGTTATAGAAGACAGTCATATACTTGCCTCGTTCGGAAGCTCAAGCAGTCGGCTCCGAGCACTTTTCGTGGCAGTTGAAGCGAACTGCTCAGGGTTTCTGTGCGACATGCCTATACTTGTGTTATAGTATTCGGTATGCAAGTTGCAATGCTAAAGAGTGAGATAAATTGTGAAACCCACTGTATGTGTATAGTTCGATGCGAGATGGAAAATGCGAAACGGAGGATGCGAGATAGAATATGCGTGATAGAATATGCGTGATAGAAAATGCGTGATAGAAAGTGCCAGATAGAAGATGTCAGATAGAAGATGCCAGATAGAAGATGTGAGATAGAAGATGTGTGATGGAGTATGCGAAAGAGAATATGAGAGAAGATGCGAGGACAGAATATATAGAACACAAACAGCCAACGCGCGGGATGAGTATGTATAGAGCATAAGCAGCCAACGCGCGGGATTAGGATGTATAAAACGCAAGTTCATTCACATGTCTTCGAGGTGATTTAACATCCAATGTGTGTTGCCATTATCGATTCACTTCACACCTAGATAGGGCTGATGTTCAAGTATAGTTGACCAAATCGGGAGAAACTGCTCGGCGTGACCAACGACACCCACCTCACATGTGGCAATAGAACAAAGCGTGAAAAAAGGTAACAAGGAACTGCTCTGTTCACATTGCACTTTTCACGAGACCAAATGGAGCACGTGCCCTGAGATTGATAGATTTGCCCACATGTTAAAGATGTCGCGATAAACGACGCCGCTGTAGACTTTCTCTCACTCCCCAACCATCTGCCAATAGTCCCTTAACTTCCTCGAGCCCGAGTCCACTCATCTCAGGGTATATTGCCCATACAGCAGCCCACCCAACCACACAAACGAGTGCATAGAGAGCAAACGTCCATGAGGGTGAGATCCATTCCATCATAGGCAAGAAAGTGAGACCGATGATAAAGTTCGATCCCCAATTAGTTGCGGTGGCCAGTCCTGACCCCAGAGAACGTACGTTCAGAGGGAAGAGTTCAGACTGCTGCCAGGGGACATTGCCAAGTCCGAGGGCATATGCTGCAGTATAGACAGTGAGACAGAGCAAAATGGCAAGAGGTAGAAGAGAACTAGGGCTATCGTCGTTTTCTTGACGGCCAGTTGGAGGCTGTGAATTCCATTTGTCGTCCATCGATGAAAACGAGAAAGCACAGACGACCAGAGCAACCACCATGATAGGAATTGAATAAAGAAGAATACGCCGGCGACCGATCTTGTCAATCAGCACAAATGCAAACAGCGTGAAGACGAAGTTCGTCATAGCTACCGAGAGTGACGTTAGTGTCGGCGAGGAGAACGAAAGTGAGGAGAAAATGGTTGCCGAAAAATACATCAGGCTGTTAAATCCACAAAGCTGCTGGACTGCCTGGAGCATCATCGCTATGATCAACGCTCTTCTGTTTCCACCCTGCAACAACTGCTGACCCCGCTGGAGGGTATCATGTAACCACTGGGGCTTTGTGCCACGGGACTTGATTTGTCCCAGCTCCGAGGCCTCCTGAACGATTTCTGCGCTGATATTGCGCAAGACACGATCCACCACCTGGTCACAGCCAGAGCAATCCTGGTAGATCTTGGTCAGGACTGTCTTCGCCCGAGCATCGAATCCAGCCTGGACTAGCCATCGAGGCGTCTCAGGTAGCAGGGCGAGAATAGCAAGTTGGAAGAAGGCCGGGAATGCCCCGATTCCCACTATCCACCGCCAGCCTCCCGTTGTACTGGAAAACAACCACCCGACTATATATGCCACCACCTGGCCACCGGTAATGAACAGGCTGAGGATCGTGACAAGTCTTCCTCTTGCGTGCGAAGGAGCCAACTCGGAGATATACCTAGAAATATTTCCCAGCATGTTAGCAATCATCATCTCTCCCACGGTCAAGTTTCTGCCATGGCTAAGGGTTCTCAGTCCCCGCCTGACTCGACAAAATGTCACGGCCAACCTACAATGGGGTCACCGCACTAGCACTACCAACGGCAAGACCAACAATGCTGCGGCCAAGAATCATACCCCAAACCTGGCTTGTAAAGGCCTGTACCAACGCTCCAACTGCAAACAACAGATCGGCACCAAGTATGACTTTCCGACGACCGAACTTGTCCGCCAGCACTCCGGTGAACGGGCTCGCGATCAATGCAAACAGGCTGGTGCAGGATGTGATAAGGCTTTTATCGAGAGTTGTCAATGGCCGGCCTGAAAGATCTGACCCGATGGTCACCAAAGTAGACGAGATAACACCTGTGCTGGAAGTCCCGAGGATTGTTAGTGAACGGGAGGATCAATGGAGCAACATGGCGTGTTTAGTAGGAGCTGACATACTCATATCCAAATAGTAGACCGCTTATCCCAGCGGAGAAGGTCAACGCCCATATAAACCAGCCTCCTGAGTATTCCAGCTCAGAGGCCAAGCTCTCATCGTGGTCATTGTCACCATGGTCTAAAGAGGCGTGGGATGAGGCGAGCAAAGGCGCGTGGGGACCTGATTGGTCTTGTTCATCTGCGCCCGTCATGTCTTCGGGCTCTTCCAGCTGTAGCCCCGGGGTATCATCTGAAATTGTCCTTTGGGGTATCTAAGATGGTAAAGTGCCTAGCTGACGTCCGGGGTTAATTGCGATAAGCCGATAAGGAGACCCGCTCAAAGCCCGGAGCGGAACTCAGATTCCGCATGCCGACGTGGTTCAGTATGTTGTAAACAAGAACGAAGGGCAAAGAGAATGAAGGAAGAAAAGGAACTGGAGAATTATGGCTTTGCTAGAAACGCACTCAAGTGGAGTGACGCCCTAATCTATTAGATAGAGCAAAGACTGGGCCGCGGAATACTCAAGGAACAATAGTGGTCATAATGTAGATTCATGCAGGATATTCATAGTTTTTACGGCATTAATCTGTACATATATAGCCCTCCAACCCTAGTGTTTAGCCACAACACCGGCAGCATCAGCCTGCGCGGTGATCTTCTTCTTGTAGGCGTTAACGGTACCGTCGAACTTGTGAACAGTACCGCCATCGCAAACCCAAAGACTGGTGCAGACATTCTGCAACATGGTCACATCGTGGGAGACCATCACCACACCTCCCTCAAACAGGCGAAGTGCATCCGACAGTGCATCCATACCTTCGATATCCAAGTGATTGGAAGGTTCGTCAAGAACAAGAATGTGAGGATTGGTCAAGGACAAGCAAGCAAATGCAACACGAGATTTCTGACCTCCAGACAGCAGTTCCATGCGCTGGAGACCGGTTGTACCAGTGATACCGAAGCTAGATGAAGGTTAGTCAATGCAGTAGATACAAGTGGTTCAAATAAACTTACGCTCCAAGGTGTCGTCGGTACTCCTCGTCAGTTTTACCGGGGTATGTCTTGGTCATAAAGCCGACTGCACTGGTAGTCATGTCCAAAGCATCTACGTGATGTTGGGCAAAGAATCCAATGCGCAGTCTCGAGTTTGTGGAGATGAGACCGCTTGTTGGCTCAAGCTGGTTGGTGAGTAGTTTCAGAACTGTGGTCTTACCCGCACCGTTAGGTCCGACAATTCCAATACGCGAATCAAGTTGCACATCCAGGTCGACATCCCTGAGAAGAGGCTTGTCCTTAGTGTAGCCGAAGCAAACATCGGACATCTGGACGATGGGTGGTGAAAGCTTCTCGACTCCGGGGAATGCAAAGTGCACGGTGTACTCGGCCTCTGGAGCTTCGAGAACCGGCATACGCTCAAGCTTCTTGATTCTCGATTGTGCCTCAGAGGATTTGGCGGCGTTGTATCGGAACTTATCAATGAATGCTGATGACGATCGTTAACACGGCCGCTATGACGAGATGCAGGGGGTGACAAACCTTGCAAGTGTGCTCTTTCGCCCATTTGCTTCTCGTATTCGCGCTTAGCAGTCTTGCGGCGCTCTTCCTTAGTGGCATAGAAGGATTCTGCAGTTTGTTAGAACTATTCATAGTCTTGTGAGCCCGTGCAACTTACCAAAGTTAGCGCCTCTGTAGTAGTCCAACCTCTCGGAGTGTTGGTGGATAATATCCGTGGCGACTTCGTTCAAGAATGCACGATCGTGAGAAACAACAAGGACTGTACTGGGGTATCCCTGGAGATAATTGGAAAGGAAAGTAATTGACGGAACGTCCAACATGTTAGACGGTTCTGTAAAATGTCAGTAGGCTGCTTGTGGAATCAAGAGGCCAGTGGTACATACCGTCAAGCAAAAGTAGATCGGGCTCGCAGAATAGAGCTCGTGCGAGAGACAAACGCATTCTCCAACCTCCGGAGAAGGTCTTGGTGGCGTACTGCTGGCGCTCTTGGGAGAAACCAAGACCGGCCAAAATACTGGCCGCACGAGATTCGGCCTTATCAGACTCCATTTCTGAAAGCTTTCCATAAATATCACTCAACGTGATGTCCAGTCCCTCTCGCTCTTCGTCAAGTCTAGCAGCATCCTTCGAGGTATCCGCCAATGAAGATCTCTCTTCTTCAATGGCTGCCAGTTGTTTCGAGATTTTCTATGGTCGTTAGTGAATATTCTACAGTGGTATCTTGCGATTTGACTAACCGCTTGCTCGGCAAGAAGATGTTTCCGCCACACATCAGCATCCAACACTGCTTGCAAAGCTGGTGTATCGTCACCAGTGATCTACGGTAAAGAGTCAGTAAGAGAAAAAGCAACCGATCTGAGGTTTGAACATACCTCTTGCTCAACGTGAAGAATAGAAACGTGAGTCGGAATCGGAATTTCTCTGCGACTTAAAGCACGCAAAAGTGTAGATTTACCGATACCGTTCTGACCAACAAGACCGTAACGACGACCATAAGCGAGGGTGAAGGCAGCATCTGTAAGAATGCGCAGGCCACTAATCGAAATATCGATGTTATCCAACTTGATGTCCTTACTCTTGGCCTGGGAGTCCGAGCCCATTTGAAGAGGGTTGACAGCCATGAAGAACTCCTCGTAGGACATGGCCTCATCCGGCTGGTTGAGCAGACGGGACGCCTCGTAGGTAACGTTCTTCATGGACTTCTTGTCCTGCTTGGCGCGAATCTTGCGCTCGGCCTTCTCAAGCTTCTTCTTGTCCACCTTGGACTCCATCTTTCTGGCATTGGCAGATTCCAAGTCGACAGTGTTTCCAGTGAGACCCAGTGTAGAGGACATGTTCCGCTGTGCGCCGACATTGATGGTCTGTTCAAGCTTCTTAGCCTTGAAGGGCATTTGCCTCCGCTCCGGATCGCCATCGGAAGAGCTCAGCGTGGTGATGAACCTCGTGACCAAGTTGCCGATCGCTTCGTAGTTTTGCGGGGAGAAATCTCCAGAAGCGGAGACTAGGAGCTCGGTCACGGATTCAGCAGCCTCTGACAAGGGGGACTCGCCACTGGCATCGTCGACGTAGAGGTTTGCGGCATGGGTCAGGTAGCCCTGTCAAATAGTCAGCTTCAACGCACTCACAATCCACTCCTCCACCGCGCATATGTGCGGAGAGACATACCACTGAGTATTCGGTGATGATCTGGTCAAGGCCAGGGATCTGGGATTGGAGTTCAGACTCCATCTTGCCAAGCTCGAGAGGACCTGCGTCACGCCGAGATTCAGGAAACTTCGACGTCAAAAGTTTGTGGAGTTCTGGAATTGATGTCCGCATCGTGAATAGTGGCGGATTTTTGGATGTGTGTTATCGATAAGGTCACATGACTCGAATGTTTATATCATTTCTAAGGCAAAGCTTCCAAGGTATGAATTCTGTTTTTTTGGGATATTGCGACGGAGATTAGATGTCAGCTAGAGTACCGTTTGTTCCTACGCTCTAAAGAACTCCGAGAAAAAAGCCCCTCCGAGAGGTCGCTAGGTGGTTGTTCTTTCCCATATATTCGCGACTATTAGACCAAAATATAAGCGATTTTTACAACTTCAACATGGAACTATATAGTCACACCTTTGCTGTACAGCAATTGACATGAAAATGAAGCTGGTGACAACTGCAAGTTTAATATTCCTCGGAAATTGATACTCAAGCAAGTCGACTGTGTATCGCCAATCTCTGTCTGAAGTTGTTGAAGACGAGGGCATCTACTCCCGTGTCAAGATTAGTCATAAATGCTTGGATAAACCTTGGAACCCCTTGGGATCTATGATTCGAATACTGGAAAGTTGAATTGGAGCCATTGCGGAAGAGTGGTTGCTGAGGTGAATTAGCCTCGCTTCAGCAGTTTCCCAGGCGACTAGTTGAGCGCAGATAGTCAAGTTTTGAATCACATGTTGGCGTTTATGATGGTTATACTTGCCTGCAGGAAACAAGCACCAGATCACCCGAATGTCACACAACCCCAATCTTTAGCAAGACCATTAGTGCCAGACAAAGTACAGAGTAAACATAGCATAATAATCAACCTCAGCTCCGGCCGTCTCCCCGGTCATTGGTAAGCCAATACGAGGTACTGCGAGGAGGAGCATAAGCAAGACCTAGATCTGACCCTCTCGTCCAAAGATGTTTCGGCTACTCTGTGCAGCTAACAGTGATAGACATAGACGGTGAAGTGAAAGATGTGGCCTGACCAGTATACCGAAGTCTGCATCGACAACTGGACTCTGACGAAATTGCCTAAATTAGATGGCTTTTGCAGGCTGCAGGGTGTTTCATAGGCAGTTTCATGTTCGGAGACGTTGCATCTGGCCAGCAGTCAGTAAAATGGGATCTGAAAAGTGAGCCCAAAGGTACTAGTTAATTATGAAGTTATGAGCTGCCCAACGAAGTCATACAAGGTTGGAAGCTGAAAGCTGTTCAAAATGTAATTTCCACAATCATCCCCAAAAGTCGGAAATTGCAAAGCACGGGCTTGCAGAATTTGCCAATACTCAAAAAGCCGAGAGGTCCAGGGCCAAAGTGATTCTTTTTTCGGAGCCAATAAATTATCAGAAGATTTCAAGGTTATCAAACCGTGCAGGGAATATCTGGTTCCGTTTGCTGCAGGTTACTGCAGCCAACACCGATATAACGGGTGATGGCAGGTGAGAAACATGCACGAATTAAAGTATTGGTTCATAGTTGCCTATGTATGAACAGTTGACGCGGGACACGTAGACTTACGATCAAGGAATCTCTCTGTACTCCATACTCCGTCCTCTTCCATAGAAAGTTCCATATATCGACCTTCCCAACTGAACGATTGGATATGCCGATCGCTATGACTTTGGGTCTTATGTAGGGATCGGCCTAAATTGGCTTTTTAGGTAAAAAAATGAATTAAAAAATCAATAAAAAAATCCAAAAAAGAATTAAAGAGCTTGAAACACGAGGTGCCTCTTTCCCCCACTCTTTCATACACTATTGACGGTTAACTGCCAGCAAAAGCAAAATGCATGACCGAGTTAGGGATTGCGGTCCACGACCCACGAGGGTTCCCTTTTTCATTTGCAAAAGTGGACAAAGAGCGGAAAGGGGTGGAGTACTTGTGACGACGTTAGGGAAACAATAGCACCGGGTACTATATCGGGTTAATTTGCGTAAAATCGAACAGGTCAACCCCCGAAAGCTAAGATCACACTCCCTACTCCGTACGAGTGAATGTTGAATCACGCTCTGCAATATAACATTTAATCGTACCGAGTACTTCGGCCCTTACATTGAGCCTCGCAACGCTCTTTTTCTTTTTTACCACTCCACTCTTTATCGGATGATATTCTATTCTAGAAGCGAAGTCAGCGAAGTTAGTTGAGAGTGGATCTAAAAGAGAGAGAAGGAAAGAAAAGAAAGAAAAGAAAAACAATTTGGTAGACTGTTTACTCTATATACGTTCAAGAGTTGATAGCTTAACTAATTTCACAGTGGATATAGGTTCTAAGACCAACCGCAATTAATATCGTTGCACCATGGTTCACCATCGGAGGAATAGAAGTTACAGGCAGTTCATAGGCAACCAGTGGACACCGATCGGCCTGGAAGGGGGGTCCTTTCGCGATCTTGAGACTAACGATCCTAGTCAGGCTAGGGGGCCGACGACGCGATCTCAGCCAGCCAAACCCAGATGTGTGGGGAATTCTGGATCGCATGGCTTTTTTTGGGTCCTTTTGGCTTCTCCATTTCCCTGCTCTTTGGGCCCGGCCACTCAGAAACGGACTTCTCCGGTTTGAAAAATCATCTCGACAATGACGCCAATGCAAATGTGAGCCGCAAGGGATATTCGGGTCTGCCAACTTCGCGCCTAATCTGCATTCTGCATTTGCAAAAACACCCGCAGGATCGTGCACAAAGGCTAGTACCGTTTCGTGCTGCCCTGTCGTAGTGCTAATCGGGGCATTTCTCTCGGACGTGCGAAACTATGAATACATGTAGGTTTGGTTTTGATTTGACTATAATCTTCCTATCTTTTTCCTCATCAATTTTGAAACTCTTCAAATGAATGCCAACTTCCTAGTACATTGATGTACTTGATAATTGGCATAATATCAAATAAATCAAATATAAAAAAAGGGTTGAAGGAGGGGAGTTATTGAAGTTGCTCCTAGCGTGCGCAGGGCGGGAGCTGATAATCCCCGTGTGTTGTTGTTGATTTCCCCGGGTCACATCCACTTCATCTGGCGCTCTCCTTCTTTACTCGGCCTCCCAGGGGGTAGAGGCTTATTATTTTCTCGGTCTGGCTTTTGCTCGGCGTTGCCCATTCATTCCTTTTTTTTCATTCCTTTTTTTTTGGCTTTGTCTAGAACGTCAATCGCGGCCTAGTTGAGGGCAGCGCACTTCTCCCTCACACCCGACCGCGCAATTCGCAATTCGCCATTCGAACTTCCATCTACCCCCTCATCACGTTTCTCAATACTCTTTTCTTATTTTGCATCCATCTGGAATGTCATTCACGGAGCTTGTCAACCTGGAGCTGATCGTCGGGGTGTTTGACATCCTTCGCGGCGTCCTCTGAGGATGGATCACATATCAACTGTAAGCCCTCCCCAATATCAAATTGAAGAACGAGATCTGGAATCGCTTGCATAACGGCGGTCTGGTCGCTTCGGAATTCCCACTGACTGAGGCTTCTAGCTCTGTGCATTGAGCACTGTCGGAATAGCTCCTGTCGGCCTCGCGCTCGGTCGCGCAGAACGAACTCAGAAGCCAGGCCTCTTTCGCCGGAAGACTCTCGCTCAAGATATCCCCGAGCCGGTTTCTAACACCAATGGACAGACTGCAGATGTTGCCCGGCCCAAGACCGCTATCGCATCTCGAAGTCCGGCCGCCGAGTGGCTTGCCGCAAAGGAGGAGGAAAGCTCCCAGGAAAGTCAAGGATCCGATCTGCGGAAAGCGCCCTTGTCGTTCAGCGGTGCGAGGCGTCGCCGTCGGGGTCAGACCCTTACAAATCCACCTTTGCGAATTCCAGAACATGAGTCAACAGGTTCGTCGGTCGAAACACATATCCGGCGGCCATCCACCGGTTGGCTGCGGCGGCTGTCGATGGCCTCGTTCCAAGCCGAAAGCCCAACTGTGAGTAGTCCAGCGACACCCTCTTTCCATGGGTCAGAAAGTCCATTCTTAAATCAATCGCCCGGTGGGCGGAGACCGCCGAACAAATTGGTGAAGCGCCCGACCTCCCAGCACATGCGTCCGTATCCTCTGGTCATGAACCCCATCACCGGACCGTCACCGACTACGATGCGCAGGCCTGCCACTAGTCACCAGAGGTCGGAGTCAATGATCCTCCGGACTCCCTTGACACCTGATTTCGATACATATTTTCCGAAAACTCCTGTCGAAGGTCCAAAGATCGAGGAATTCGAGCTCAATAAGCAGAAGGATTGGACGAAATTCTTCGTTCCCAAGGCTGGCAAATTAGCAGAGAGACTTTCACGCAGGTTCTCCACCGCCACTACCCCAAAGGTTCAGAGTGCACGCCAGATTGTGTCTGACCAGGGCGCTCTTCCTGCGTTGGTTATGGCTAATGAGATCTCACCTCCACCTGCTGCCCCCCGAGAAGACATATCAGTACCTCATACCCCAATTGAATTTAGCAATCCATTCCAAAGGCCCCCCTCTGAGCCTGCTCCCAAGCAGCCAGTCGCTCCGGAACAGCAAGCAGAGAAATCCGGCCATAGGCAGTCATCCTCGGTCAACGATGTTGAGCCGAAAATCATCATGGCAAACACAGTCACCGCGCATGGGACACCAATTATGGGACTCGTTCGCGGCGGCTCTCTGAAGCGAGTGAAGGGGAGAACCTTCTCGGTCCCTGCTTCCGAACTCACTAGTGAAGAGAAGGTCGCTATTCCGTGTCCCCCGCAGCCGGAGCCGCGGCGCAATATTACGGATCCAAGCGTGTTTCGCCCTCCGTATCCCATTTCGCAACCGGGTTGGGCGGATTCGGCTTTGGAAAGACGGTCTCAAGTTGGTCCTCGATCGGTATCGCAGGACTACAACGTTGGCTTGGGACCTCGGGCTAGTTCACGTCAAATGGCCTCGGATGCGGTCGCCCTGTCGGCGTGGCAGCAGGCATCTCGTCCTGGTGGTCAAGCTTATGGTTCTCTTCGTCGCCGTCCCAAAGGATTTTCGATTTCAGGCTCCGATCCCTCTTCCACCATCATTGGTTCCGATGACACGCGGGTGTTTACATCTTGCGATGAATATGAGACGGACGGGATGTCAGACTATTGGGACTCTATCCGCACACGTGAGACGAATCGTAGTGGACTGAAGGGGCTGCGGATTGAAACGATGTTTGACAAAGCAGGTACGAGCTTGGTAAATGAAGAAGCCACGACCTTGGAGTCTCTCCTCCCGCGGGGTTCTTTTGCCGCTCGGTCTTTGGACAAGGATCCCCAATTATTCACCGATCCGCTTCTGTCTTCTCCTCCGTTGGTTCAAACATCCACGGTTGAAAATCCATTTGTGCCTGAAGACGATGCTCTCAGCATGATTGGATCGCTTCCTGGCGAGGATCGTGATTTCTTTTCATCCCCTCTGACCCATTCATTGGCCAAATTTTCTGAGCAGCCCGAGTCTCGTTTTGATGCAGCCAAGGATATGTCAGGATCGTTTGTGGGCGAGTTGGATTCAGATGTCGGCAAAAAGACAAACATTTTTGACTGGTCTGAACAGACACACCCTCACCGTGAAACTTCGGACTCGGAGACGCGTCCTAGGACCATGCACGGGAAACAAGAGGGCGTTATTGATAGAAACAGTCGTGCTGTTTGCCGGAAAGCACCATCCACCGTTCACCTTAGAAGTCAAAGTGTCCCAGTCGCTAGTGAACTTCCCATCAATGAATCGCGTCAAACGTCCGGCAAGTTCGGTACTTGGGGCTTGGGCAGTAAGGGTGTCAGCGAAGATTGGGATAGCGACTTTGACTTTGATGAATCGGAGGACACACCTATCGCCGAAAACAAACCGCTTATTGAGCCTGATACCAATCGCCAGAGCATGACAGTTCCCAAGGCTATTCTGGAGCGTCAAGCAAGTCTTCGTGGTCAATTTGGTCAGGTTCAAGAATTAACACTATTGGTGGAGGAATTGAAACGTCTTCGGCATCAAGCAAATGTTCTAGGTGTTGTCAACGGACCGTCCAGTGAACTGTGGGCAGAAGCAGAGCAGATTGTGAACCTTGCTACCATTGACGATGAAGAGGAGCGTCGCTCGCCGCCAGGATCTCCACAATCTCTCACCTTCAGTTTTGATGAATCCGACGATGACGGCCTGAATGCGTCGTCAAAGCGCAACAGTGAAGTCTCATGGGACGTGCCTCATGAAAGTTCTTCACCCACGTTGCCCCTCGCTCAGCTTGCAAAGGACTCTCCCAAGTCCAAATCCGTACTTGATATCCTCCAGGCCGGTCGTGATCAACAAAAGCCCGCTTCAGCTCTCGAGTTAGATTTATCTTCACGTGCAAAGAAACTTCCGTTTGATACGTCCTCGCTGAAAAATTTGGTGGTTCGTGCAGGTGTGGTGACGCGCGCGTTGAAAGAAGTTATTCGCAAAGCAGACGGGGTAGCAACCAGCCCGCAGGACTTCCCCCAAGATCCGCCATTCCGACGCATTTTCGACAAACCATCTCACGATGATATTGCCAGTTTTGAGGCAGCGCTGGCTGACATGTCCTAATCACTTTTTTTTCCTTTCTTTTCTTTTCATCAACACGTCTCAATACTCACTCCCTCTCATTATCTTCCATCCGCCAACCACAACCCATGAGATGAACCGAAAACCACCTGAAGATCATTTGCATGACCATCTTCTTCACCCTTACCTAATGTTTACTCCCTGCACGATCTCGGAGAATTCCGTCTGTTTCTTTCACAGTGCGATCTGACCCAAAACGCCATAACCTTTTTTTTTTTTTTTTTTTTTTATTCTCGTGTACAACTCTACCCCCAATGTACATTGCCAACAATTCCGTTTTTCCGTTTCCCTCCTTTTCATGTGTGCATCCCACACATACGAGTGCCCATGGGGCCCATGACCTTCCATTTTCTCTTGTGTCATCTTCCCATTCCTTTCGTCCATGTTTCATATTTGCGCAGCTCATATTTTCTAATTGCGCTGTACTAATCACAGAGGATCCCTTCTACAGGGGATGGTCTGTACTCTGATGATGTTTTCAAACGAAGACCCCAATACCAGACCCCAATACCAGGCCAGATGAAAAGCAATGAACCCAGATGTGATGATTAACCCGGGGACAAGCCCTGGCGGGCAATTCTATGAATTTCCCATCCTGTGTCTAAGTGTAATACAGAAATGAACCCAATTTCTAATCTTCGGATCATCCATATTAATGGAAAAACAATATAATGTTTGTAAACTGTATAAACAATATTATCCAAGAGAAGGCGTTTCGTATACAATTCCAGTAGCACTGATCAAGAAGCCGGCAGCGTCCCGGCCTACGTTCAGCTATACAAGTTCAAAATCTGCTTTTCTCTGAAATTGAACGACAGTTATTGGATATTCATGTTGTGAAATCGGAACACTCACACCAGCCCATGGTCGCAAGGTACTATTGAGGGGAAATCGAGGAATTACGTCTCGTCCCGGGCATCTTCCGGGGGACTATTGATCTTCTGGCGGGCCCAATCACTCTCCTCTGTAGTTCCGGTGTCTATACTTGTTTTCAGAAAAGTCAACATTTGTTTCCTACAACAGTTGAACTCTCCACAATCGTTCTTAAACCTCTATATATATATTCGAAATTCAATAAATGGGGCACTAGATCTGTCATGTATGATAATATTAATTGGATTCAAAAGGGGGATTTGGTGTACAAAACTGAGGTTGTGCTTAAATGTTGGCCCGATATATATCCCCAGTTACGGTACAACATAAACAAATACTAACATCATTTTGACAGTCGACTCTGGAAACGCCGCTGCTATTCCTTTCAATCAAAGTATTGGACTAACTCAAAACTTGCTTAGTCTTCGTTGGTAAAATATCTATCTGATGAGTTCAATATTCAATAGAGGTGTCTTGAGGTTGTACACGCCCTCTGTAGGTAGCACGTTAACAAGACAAGACATTTTATTACACATCTCATAACTTCCCCGAGTATTTGAATAATAACCTACGCTTAGCTCGAAATAATTTGGGTTGTCGGTTATCAATGCCATTATAGATTATTCCTATCTAAAGGTTTCCCTCGAGATAGATTGACCAAACAATCCAGCTCCAAGAGTAGATAAGAACAAAAAGCAAATAAAATAAACCAGTAAGTCAGTGCAGAGAAATAGAAGAAAATTTCCTCACAATAACAACATTGAATAGTTATATAGAAGCTGGCAGTGTAATATGCACCTTCTAAGGGTAGTATACAGTACGACGTAGTATAGTTAATCCGAATATTATCCGGGGTACTTAGGTTGGAAATGAGGGGGGCCACACCGGCGTCTCATGTTAAAGCAATCCGAAATCATAGCCTTAAATTGGCCTTGTATTGAATCAATTAGTCTCTTTTCTATGTAATCTATATAATAGACAGGTTTATGCTTCCCTTTTGTCCAAAGATTAAGCATTAGCCAATGTGAAGAGTCAGGGCTTGGCATAGCCTAGTATATATAACATAAGGAAGAGATGAGAAAAGAAAAGAAAAACGAAAAAAAAGCCCCTTGTGCCCTTACATGGGTATACAGAATACAGAAGTTGAACGGTGTAATAAACAAGATACAGCCACCTCTGGTGCCCACTGGGGCACTCTTCCAATCTCAGGGGCAGCCGTTCGGTGATTGGCTGATAACACGGGTTCCTGACGCTACTGGAGAGTGTGGCCCCATGAGGCCTTGGAGGTGTCTTACCGTCACCTTGCTTGGTGCAGTTCTTCTTGCATTCGAGTGTCAACAAATAGATTAAAAGAGGTGAAATATTAGTAGATCAGGATAAACAAACAGTGAAAACCGAGACAATAACAATAACAATACTCCATCGAAATTCAGGGTGTTCTAAATTAAGACTCAGGGGCGAGATGCGGAGATAGAGAGAGAGGGAGAGAGTACGGAGTACCTGTACGATACAAAAGTCTCTGTATAATATTGACGCTAGTCCGCCATTCTAGAACTCGCTCTTCCCTCCTTCTCCTCTTTTCCTCCCTCCGTCTCTCTCTCTCTAACATTCATTCTCTTTTGGCTGCTGGCCGCCGCTCTTTTTGAGGACCTAGTCCTATACACTCATTTACACTGCATTTACACTGCATATTACACTCTTTTTGTTCTCGGATATTTGTGATTTTTGAACTGTGTGACCCGAATTTAAATGACGAGCATCAATCTCGAGCGGCTATCGCCATTTTAAACGTGTTGATCGCTCTTCACGTTCTAGACAAGTCGGGTCTATCCCTATAGACCAGACTACATCGACTATGCCTCATGCTCACCACATTCGTCGGGATGTCATCCCTCCACATCGATTGCCGTTTTTGGTCCCTAGTACCTCTGTAGCCACACAACTTCCATCTCTCGTGGCAAGATCCGAATCCGAATCATCTACGGCGACCGCGGGACCAAAGCCCACCAGCAATCTGACAACGACCGTCTTGCCTGTCGTTCTCGGTGCAGGATTTCCCATTTTGTGTGCTATTATCGTCCTGGTTGTGCTTCACCGGAGACATGTCAAGAAACTTCTACGGGAAGATGCAATGGATAAACATAAATCTCTCGATTTTGGAATGGATACAGTGGGGCCTGCCACAAGGAGGAAAGACCCGAATGGAATGCCCCCGATGTCACAACCAGCCCATACCAAAGGATTGTCTCTTGATGTCGGTCCATATCTGATGCCTCCGAACCTGGAACGTTCCCCGGAGACTCTGCGGTCCATGTCAATAGATGATGACAAGTACCGCCCGGCCACTGCCTCCATTCGGTCGTACCCCAGAAATTCCAATTTTGGAGATATCGATGACGGCAAATCAGGCCTTCTTCAGAATGCACAGAGGATGTCTCGTTCATCCCCGCCGCTGTACTCCTCCCCTATCGAATCTCATGGACGCAGTCCTCAAAAACAGCACAATGATTACCTCGGGCAAGTTCCCGGAGTGACGCCTCCACCTGCCGCACAGCAACCCGGAATGGCTATTGGAAGTCCCAATGCCAACCGGGTTCACACGCCAGAGCCCCTCCCCCATGTGGATTCCTCTTCAGGTCTGAACTTTGGACTGGATGATACATATGGTAACTCATATAACAACCAGCATGAAGAGCACCTCAACTTCGCGCTGCCCGAGCCTTCGCAACCACGAGACTTGAACCATGATCAGGCTCCTGCATCACAGCTTCCTCGTATTTCCCTGCCGGCCAGCGTTGTTACCAGTAGTGACTATGGTGATGATCGCAAGTCGCAATCCACTCTCCCTGCGGTCAACATCCATGGCACAGGAGATGTACAGCAACATGATACCCCAAGCCACGATAACAAGCATCCAGAACTTCCAGAGGAACCTCAGAATCTGGATGCGGTGTATGATAATCGCCGCGATACCCGCCGGATGACTCTCGGGTTGCGCCCCTTACCCCCAGAAGACCCCGCCGACAACCCAGAACAGCGTGCGAATCGGATTCGCTCCTTCTACAAGGAGTACTTCGATGAGAGCAAGGGGGCGCAGGAGCCCACGTACTATGAGGACTTCGGGCCCGAGTTCTATGAGGGTGGTGGTAATTCCGCCGGTTTCATCTACGACCCAACCACCGGCGAGTATTATGATTCCAGTTATGGCGCTGCTCCGTTCGCCGAGCCGATCACTCGTCGCGCGATGACCCCGCCGCCTCGCGCACCTCCACGCTTCCAGGGAGCTGCCCGCCACATGGCCACCAACTCTGCTGGCTACAATGGCATGCCCGGCCCACGCGCCTTCTCATCTGCCTCTGGCCGTATGCCCGGTCCACGCGGCCCCAAGAAACCGATGCCACCCCCGGCGCCGCTGCAAATCCTTCCTACTCCTCACATGTTAACGGATGATTCCCTCATGAGCGCCATGGACTTTGCCCCGGCAAATGGATTCAAGGACCGCCGCGCGGGCCGCCCCGAGACACCCACCGGTGGCATGCGCCCGTACATCCCTGGCGTGCGTGCTCACACGCCACTGGTCTCTGCCTTTGACGAGCTCGCTGTGATGCCCAGTCCTCACGCCCTGCGCAAGTCCGGCACGTTCACGAACCTGGACTTTGTGCCCCCGCCCCGGTTCAAGAATGAGGGTGGTTCCGGCAGCGATGCGGGAAGTATCCGTAGTGCTCGGACTGCCCTCTCTACTACCCACCAGAATAATATCCGCATGGGCAACTACCGTGTCAGTCGTCTGCCGGCCGAGGCCGTCGGTACTAAGGACGACATGATGACTACTCTGCGTCCGAAGTGGGATATGAACAACGCATAAGGAAGTGAACTTGTCGCTTTCCAATGTCATGACTTGTTGTTTTGGTACCTTGTATAAGAGCACGTGATGATTTTGATTTTGATTTTTTGTTTCTCATCTGGGTCCCCCGGTGCTTGAGCTTTTTTTGGGGGTGATGGTCATCGCCCCTTTTTATATTCATTACTCTGTTCTCCCTTTTTTTTTGTTTGCAAATATGCTATCCAAGGCGTAAATAGATGATGGTTGGATTCTTTCCCGTGACCACTTTGAAATTTCATTTCTTCTGCCCGGTCTTTGGGCTGTATATATTAGGTCTCTGTACTCCATACTCCGTGCTCCGTAGTTCTAGAACATAAGATCTAAGATCCAGAGTATACGAACAAATTTCGTATATTTGAACTCAGCACTCCGCCACAATTAGGCGTTCAGCTACATATGTTGTACTCCGTATGGCTGGAAGCTGGGAGTTGGGGGCGAGAAACCGAGCCGCTAACCAAACAAGTCAGGGGCAAGGATGAGAGAGATCAGAATAATTTTAATATTCAATATGCTAATGGGCTAACGAGCTAACGAGCTAACGGGCTAATGGGCTAGACGCAGAAAACAAGATTACCCGTGCCGATCGTATTTTCTTTTTTTTTTTAATTATAGTAGAATTGGTATTCGTATTCCGTATGGAGTATAGTATTGTTGACTACCAAACCGTTGAAGTGGATAATCAGAATCAGATCGGAATCACATTGTGGCAACTGAGTACACGCTGCATCATCGATTTTTTTTATACGAAGCACTATGGAATAGTACTCCATATAAGAGACATCTGGAATATATAACCTTGGAATTCACCTGGGTAGCCTCGGGGCTTCCTTACTTCTGGCCTAACACCCACTGGTACTCTCAGCTCGGTTCTCGGTTCTCTGGTTTCCTTTTTTTTTGCCCTTTTTTCGGTACCAAATAATACACCATAACGTTAAAGATTGGGATTCAAGATGGGTTATTTTCGGAGAAACACATTGTTTTCAGAATTTTTAGAGTATTAGAGAGTATCATAGAATATTATAGAGAGAGTAACAGAGAGTATTCAAGTCCTTTAGCCTTATGGTCAGGGGGTGTCCCATAGCCGGATCAAGGGATTACCAGAAACAGCATCATGTTTGTTGCAAGCGGGGGGATGCAACTGCAACTTAAAGCGTAGCAGATTAAATCGTAGCATAAATTCGCTGACAGAGTACAGAGTACAGCCCTGGAGGGTACTACGGTACAAGTCAATTATAAGCAAAACATATGTAAAATCAAAGTATCTATTAATACAACTAGGAATGTGGTTACGCCGCAATCGTAAGAAATCTCCACTTCCCACCTCAGTCTCACTCTCCCACACACTTCTCTCCTCTGCATGGCTGCTAGATTCGGCCTCGAGAGATTGTGAGTATTCTTCTCTCTTTTCCATCCTTCTCAATTTTCCTTTTATCTCCTTTTATTCTTTCTATTCCGATCGGTTCCTGAGATATCACCGGTTTTCCCCTGAGACTCCCCGACCATCAACCTCAACATCTCTCCTTACGCGTTCAAATCGCAGTCTCTCGTTAAATCAGCCTATTAACTCGGATTCGAAATTGTGACCTCCAGTCTCATTCAGCCCGAAATTATTTCCGCACCCGGAAGTGTCCCTAATTTCTCAAAACTCGCCGAACCTTCTCCCGACTTAGGATCCCTTCGATCCCAACCGCCAATCTCACCGGAGATCACTTACTCTTGACCAACAACCAACATTGGCCAAAATTGTTCTTGACAATGGTTTCACCATCTCAAGGCGCTGCTGCTACGGCTGCATCTATCGCTGCTAGCGCCCCAGAAACCGCTGCACAGACTTCGGCCTCTGCTGCCGAGACCACCAGCGAAACACCTGCCCCCCAACCTACCACTTCTTCAACCTCAACGACCTCTTCGTCTTCGGCTGCTCCCACCACCACCACTTCAACTGAGCCGACTACCACCAGTACCACTACGAGCAGTACTAGTAGCACGTCCACACCCGCGCCTACCACGTCGACCCCAGAGCCTACGACTACTTCGTCCACTACCACTTCGTCCACTTCTTCTACTACTTCTTCCACTACATCCGCCCCATCCACCACTTCAAGTGCCCAGGAGACAACGTTTACATCGACACAGGGAACCACTGTAGTTGTTATCACGTCCACCCAAACACCGACTAACACTGCTGCCACGTCTGCCACCTCTTCCAGCGCCACCAATTCGGCCGCGCTCGCAACCTCCACCTCAGCAGCAAGTTCAGGTGGTCTTTCCCCTAGTGGAACAATCGCCGTTGCAGTCGTTGTCCCAGTTGTCTCGGTGGCATTGATTATCTTGGCGCTGCTCTTCTTCTGGCGTAAGCGCAAGGCAAACAAGGCGGCCGAGGAGGAGCGCCGCAAGGAAGTAGAGGAGTACGGATTCAACCCAAACAACGACCCAACCCTTCCCGGTATTGGAGGCGCTGTTCTCCCCAAGGACGACCAATCCTCCGGCTACCGCGGCTGGGGAACCACCTCTGCCGGGCGCAAGGCGTCCACCAACCTCTCCAGTGGAATGGGTGGCCTGGCCGTGTCGGAAGGAAGCAGCCCCGGTTATCACCACGGTGCAACACCCAGCGATGGCACCGTTCAATACTCCGAAGGTACTCGTCCCGACTCCGGCGAGATTGTTGAACCCATCGGTGTGCTGGGTGCCGCCCCAGTCGCTGCGAACAACCGCAACGGTGACATCCACCGCGGTCCCTCCAATGCATCCTCTGCTTACTCCGCAGCCAACCGTTCCGACGCATCGGAGGAAAGCCACATGTCCGCTGTCCACCCCTCAGCTGGCTACTACGGTGAGAACCCGTACTATGGCGACATGAACACGCACGGCGCATACGGTGGCGACGACTACCAGCCTGTGATCCGCGATGTTCAGGCGCGCCGTAATACCCGCATCGAGAACCCCGGTGTTTATCCACGACAGGGTAATGCTGGTATTGCGCAGAACTTTTGATGGCTCGACTGATTCGGATTTCCTCCAATAATCTTTGAACTCCAAAAGCTCGGCATTCCCGTTTTGTTTTGTTTGTTTTTTTCTTGCACAATACCACACTCTTTCTATCTCAACCACCGCCGACTTCATTCGTTTTTTTTTTTCGGGTCTCTCATGTTCCAATTCCCGGCGCGATGGACTTTCACTTCATGTCTCTATTTGTCCTCTACACTTTTATTTTCCTTTCCTGTCTCTCTCTCCACCCTCTTAATCGGCCTGTCGGGCTTTGATTTGGTTTGGTCATCTGTTTGATATATCCCGCGCATCTGGTCTCAGCTGCATAGCTTGTTTTCGCCTTTTGTGTTTACACACCTCGTTTATGTTTGTGTTGATTGTTCTTTTTTTTTTGTTACACATGTCTTTGTACATGTGATCGTAAGGAGCTGCATCTTGTACATTTCCTGCTGAGTGTGGAGTTTTCCATGCACCTGGACATACTCGAGAGTTGCAATGATACCTCGGGGTGCCTTGGATTAACTCCTAGTTCCCTTGAGGTCTTTGTATCTGGTATAATGAAATGAAAGGTTTACATTGAATGGTTTTGGCCTACGTAGTCTGTATGTGATGGGAGATATAGTTTCGCGGAGAAGGTCGGCAGAATCGTAGATGATGTAGGTACTAGCCTCTTAAGAAAGGATGGGAACAAGAACACTATGTAGTAAGTTACTTTTGACTAAAATAACTATACTAAAAGTTACTAAATATGTACCTATACTACGGCTAAACATATTAAAACATAAATTATGCATAGAATCAAAAGTACTCGGTACATTTCCGTTGTAGTGGTTACCAGTAAGTCAACAACGTGCGTCCGCTGTTCACGGTGATTGGCGATGAATGATTCACACAGCTCCCCACTCCCCGGCTTAATTGCACCTCGCAGCTTTTCCCTTCTCTTCGAACTATACCCTGTAAGGCCCTTAACATTCGAATTGTACCTGGTCCCTGTACATGCCCACATTGTGTCTCTCGAATTATTGCCCCGCTATCTCTATCTCTCTATCTCTATCACCGCTTCGACCCGGAATTTCTGTGCTACTCTTAGCATCTAATCCCTTGATCTGATATACGGGAAACCATCTCAACCCAACGTCACACATTTTATCTACTTGTGTCACTCCGTCCTTTCCCTGTTCCACTATTATTCTTCCCCACTGGGATAGCGCATTAAGCGCCCCTCTTACCCCCGGAAGCCTAGTACCAACTTTGGTTTCGTCCCAAACGTGTCCTTGTCATCCCACCCCTCTCTCTTTTTTTTCCCTCTTCTTCTTTTCTATTGATACCATTCCTACCTCGCCCAGTCAGCTCCAAAAGCTCTCATTCTCCTAACTCTCAGCTCTGTTTCGCTGAGCTTGCGCTACTGTTGCGATCTCGGTCTCCAGAGCTCGGGAGAGCTAAAGCTCTCTCCGAGGGTGTGAAAACATGTACGTATGCCCTGCAGCTCCTGCTATCGCCTGATTCATTACTAGAGCTGCTACTGATATGCTCTGACTCGATAGGAAGTTCGGCAAACAGATCCAGCGCAGGCAGCTAGATCTTCCTGAATATGCCGCCAGCTTTGTTAACTACAAGGCGCTGAAGAAGGTTGGTTTAACGTACCGCCTGCCGACGAGGGAATATGAGCACAGCTAATTCATTCACAGCTGATCAAGCAACTCAGCGCCACCCCGACTATCCCAGCACAGAGAACAGCCGAGGAGATTGCCAGAGCTAATGCGGACCCCCAAGGTGCCCTGCGTGCCAACAAGGAGGTGTTCTTCTTCCGCTTGGTAAGTTGTCGGAATAATTTCCTGCATATAGGAAGATGGGATGTACTTACCATGACGTATAGGAACGGGAGATCGAGAAGGTGAACACTTTCTACCTTCAGAAAGAATCAGAGGTATGGCCATTTATCCAGTGCACAGTCGTAACCTTATTTGGAGACTCATCATATCGCTTTAGTTTTCTCTGCGTCTAAGGACGTTGGTCGACAAGAAGCGGGTGACTCAGTCCCGAGCCACGTCAAATTCTAAAGCACCGTCGAATTTTGCTGCTATGTTTGAAGGCTTCCAACAATTCGATGGCGACCTGAACAAACTGCAGCAATTCGTTGAGATCAACGAGACTGCCATGTCCAAAATCCTCAAGAAGTGGGACAAAACCTCCAAGTCTCGCATGAAAGAGCTGTATCTGCACCGGGCTGTCGAAGTGCAACCATGCTTCAACCGTGAGGTTCTTCGAGACCTTGCAGATAGAGCTACTACCGCACGCCTGGAATTGGAGGCCTGGGCCGAGGGCGAGAACATTCAATATGACGCCTCACGTCCATTGGACCGCACCGCACCCTTGGGCTCGGAAGAGGATGAAATGGACAACCAGATCTTGCAGTCAGCCTCCACCGGCAATCTGCAAACCCTACGTGAATGGCTGGTCAGGTTGAAGCAGCTTCCGGACGCCCGTGAACGAGCCACCCGTACATTCCTGACTGCCATTAATGGGTTCTCGGATGAAGTGCTCGCTTTGCTATTGGAGAGTCAACTTGTTGACATACATGCCGAGGACGACATCAACGAACGAAACTGCCTTCATGAATCGGCCATCTCGGGCCGATTGTTTGTCTTCCATGCAGGTCTCCAGGCATCCGTGGATTTCGCCCGCGCCGATGTCTATGGTCGAATCCCTCTCCACTATGCGTGCATGCACGGCCGTGTGGATATGGTGCGACATCTGCTTGCAGCCGGCCCCCACACCGTCGATGTCATGGACCATGACAACTTTACCCCTCTAATCCACAGCATTGTAAAGGACCAGCTGGCATGCGCTGAGCAGGTTCTACGTAGCAATGCCCGCGTCGACCCAGAGCCCGAGTCGCCCGCTTTGAAGGGAATGGACATTCGTCCCTTGAGAGGCCCGGATCATATTCCTTTGAATCTCGCCTGTCAGCATGGCTCTCTCCCCATCGCGAAGATGCTTCTTGAGCGAAATGCGAAGTTGCTGCCGGATGCAGAGGGTCTCTACCCCCAGCATATGGTTGCACGCGCCTCACAATCGCCAGAGCTACTATTACTCCTAAAGGAGCACGGTGCTGATCTTGACCAGAAGGATAAGCTTTACCAGTGGACTCCGCTCTTCCACGCAGCCAGCGAAGGCTGCGTCCCGTGCCTACGCACCCTGCTCGAGTGCGGGGTCGATGCCCAGGTTCCAGACGAAAAGGGCCTCTCGTCTATGTACTATGCTGCCTGGGAAGGGCATCTGGAGTGCATGCTCCTCCTCTGGGCCCAACCCTCCGGGAGTCAGCCTGCACTGGGGCCACTTGACATTCTCAATGGCGTGCGGATGCAAGAACCCGGCCCGATGGGCGACCCAATGTCCGTGGTTGCAAGCGTTTCTGAATTGGAAATGGCCGATGGTATCCCGGATCTTGAATTGCCTCCCCCCATTATCCCTCTCCGCCGTTATGGCCACAACTTCCTCGACAAGAAAGTATTCATTCAGCTTCTCTTTGATCAAGGAAATGTTGGGTCTATCGCCTTTGATCAGGCGGGCCGACACCCTGCTGCTCGTATGACCATCTCCTCCAAGCTGTCAGATCTCATTCCTCGTACTATGATGCTACCCATCCAGGAGGAGACACGCACAATATCGTTCCACGTGGATAACTTGGACACTTTTGCTGTGGACTTTGAGATCTTCCCTACCTTTGGTTCAAAGGTGATTGCAAAGAGTGTGGCCCTTCCAGACATCTTCCGCGCCGAGTCCTCCAGCACTGGCTCAGGCTGTCTGCCTCTATTCGACCCCCGCCTCCGTACAATCGGCCAGCTGCGCTTCAAATTTCAAGTGATCAAGCCATACCACGGCGATCCTCTAGAGATCACACACTTTGCTACATATTGGAAGGCCACTAGTGCCCTTGACTCAGAGCACAACGGACTTGTGACTGGTTCTAGTTTGTCGGGAGATTATGTTCAGCTCTTTGTACAACTGACCCGGGACCGCGTTGCCGTCCTTTACCCGCAATTTATGATCAACCACCACGGAGTCGACATCCCTGTGTCTCATTTGACATATGCCCAGTTCCAGGCCATTGGCGCAGAGCGCGGTGCCAACCACCCCCAGATTCTCCAGTTCTTGGAAACAGAAGCGGCAAACGACATGCCGCAGACTCATCGACTCCTGGCGGCGTCATTCTTGTCGTTACACGATGTCTTACACCAACTCCCTATTGACTTGAATGTCAACATCTCCCTCCTCTACCCATCGCCCGCCGAGGAGAAGAAGCTCGACATGACTTCTTTGGCGGATGTCAACAGCTTTGCCGACGTTATCTTGACCGATGTATTCGACCACGCCCGTATGGCCCGTGATAAGAACCCAGAGTTCATGCGTTCCGTCGTCTTCACCTCTTATAACCCGAACATCTGCAGTGCACTCAACTGGAAGCAACCCAACTGTGAGTCACCTTGGAATAGAGTCCAACTGGTGTGTGATACTAACTCCATTACTAGATCCTGTTCTCCTTTGCAATGATCTTGGTCAAATTCGTGACCTGGCTGGGAACGTTGACTCGATGCCCCATGTTAATAGCAGTGGCCGGGCTTCGATGTCAATCAAGGAGTCTGCTCGTATTGCCCAGAGCAACAACTTCATGGGCCTGATCTGCAGATCTAGCCTTTTGGTATGTTTGATCCTATTTCTGCGTGGTCTCTCTTCTTTCTCTCTAGCTCGCCTACTGACCACTGTGCAGAATGTTGTTCCCGCGCTCGTCGAAACCATCAAGGAGCTCGGCCTTGTGCTTGTGGCTGACACTTCTGACGATGTCAGCCAGTCAGATAGATTCGAGGAGCTACCCGCCACCGATACCATGGGCGTGGCCGACTGGGCATACCGCATGCCCGACGGTGTTAATGGCGTGATGAGAGCCAACGGCATTCTGAGATTTAACGACATGATCGATATGTGATCCGATTCACCCTTGCTTTCCTTGGAGAGATACACCCTTTACATACGTCGCAATTTAATTCCAACAACGAATATTACGAGGTTTGGTAGCCTTTGCCATGCCATACTTGCTTTATTTTCATGTTCTCTATTTTGCTTCTGGCTAGTTATTTCAAACAGCGGAGATAGTCCCCAGCATGCGACTTTCTCTTTGTTGCTTTCCATCTTTGTCATTTCCTATCTCATCTTGGGCGCCGGAGATAGAGCTGGGGTTGTTGATTACATGTAGATCGTCTGGAGAGTTGAGAGGAGAAGGCAAACCAAAAAGAAAGAAAAAAAAAAAAAAAAAGATTGCCGTATTAGAGAGCTGAATGGCTATTAATGTACAATGGTCCGAATCCCAAGTCCTGTATCTCCCGCTATGCTACATAATCAACATCACCTTCACGTACTTTTCGGCTTCCTCTTCCCAATATCCCACCCCCATCCACGCAGGATCTTCACAACCTTTGGCGTCACTGCCGCCGTCAACGGCACTCGAATAAATATAAAGCTCTTATGGATGGCATAAGCGAAAACCAACTGCGTCCAGATACCTGCAAGAAACACACACCAATTAGAACCCCAACCCTCAGAAACTAACAAAACAGAAAAAGAAAACTTACTAGCTTCTTCCTGATTCCGCTCCTCAGCCTGAGCAAGTTGCCCCTGCCCATCCTCCGCTTCAGGACTCTTATTCTGCGGCCACACAGTCTTGAGCTTATCCTTAACAAACCCAATAACAACATGCTCGTAGTATCCAATGCGCTCAACACCAAGCAAGCGCACGGCTGCAAAGCAGAATGGGAAATCCAGCGCCGAGAGTCCAAGATACACTCCCAGCGCAGCCCATCCATACTCCCGCGACAGTTTCTTCAACCGCTGCGATAGCGACGCCTTCTCCGAAGCTCCAGCTCCAGCTCCAGACCCCTTGGCACCATCACCAGCCGACCCGGAATTAAACCGGCGCTGCTTGAACTGGAACGAGCTCGGTGCCGGGCGGGTGCGCGTTGAGAAGCGCGCTGTCGTGAGGTTCCGACGTGTGGCTTGTGTTCCCTGGGCGAAGATTGTGTGGCGTGCGAGGGATGGACGGGTCGAGGGGTGGAGGTATGAGGATAAGCTTGGGGTTTTGAGGACCGCGCTAGGGCGCGAGATCCATTTTGTGAGGAGGGTTGGGCGGAGGGACATGGTAGGTTGGCTTGTGTTCCCCTGTTCTTGATTGAGGGGGTTGTGTGTGACTTGAACGAATTGGTGTTGAGTCTGGAGAGGACATAGAAATCGTGGTTTTTTTTCCCTCGTTTCTCTCGGCGTTTTCGGCTTCCGGTCCGATCGGGTTGGCGTGTGTATGTCGGAGTTAGGGATTAATGCGGGTTCTGGTGGTGTCGGTACGGAAGGGGATGATGTATCGTAGATGAAATATTCGAATGATTTCTATTGCTTCTTTGCTATTATTCGTACAACATCCTAGCCTTAGCTATCCCCTAAACCCGTGGGAACATGGACGCAGCTCTGAATTTGTATACTTCGGGGGTCTTGCATATACGCTGACTAAGCCCAACACCAAAAACTTCCCGAGTTCTCAGACACGACGAGCACCCCAATCCCCCTCCCAATATCAAAACCCACCATGTCGCCGCGTTTAGGAGGGCTACTTCAGCTCTCGCCCGTATGGGGTGCCCCATTGATCACACCCCGGATCCCCGTGCGCTCATTCGGAATCCGATCCCTCAACCCGCCCAAACCGAGTCGTTTCAATGTCGGCCCCGGGCTGCCAGTCCTCGAGTCGACTTCCACAGCGGCTCTCCGCCGCAAAGCCAATTCCCTCCCGCTCCGCACTGGCGCTATCGGCATCAAGAAGGGCATGACTGCTATCTACGATCCGGAGTCTGGAAAGCGCATCCCCTGCACTGTCCTCCAGCTGGATCGTGTCGAGGTGATCTCCCACAAGACCCGTGAGAGACACGGTTACTATGCTGTGCAGGTTGGTGCTGGCTGGAAACACCCGAATAATGTGACCAAGTCGTTGCTTGGACATTTCTCGGTTAATGGGCTGTCGCCTAAGCGCCATATCTTTGAGTTCCGTGTTAAGGACGAGGCGGGCCTTATCCCTGTTGGTCAGAGTATTGAGGCGGGTTGGTTCCAGGAGGGCCAGTTTGTTGATGCTCGCTCCAATACTAAGGGTAAGGGCTTTGCTGGTGTCATGAAGAGACACGGTTTCCACGGTCAGGATCGCAGTCACGGTGTTAGTTTGACGCATCGTTCGATGGGTTCTTCTGGTCCTGGTCAGGGTGGTGGTTCTCGTGTCTACCCCGGAAAGAAGATGGCCGGAAACATGGGCAATAACCAGAATACTGTTCAGAACTTGAAGATTCTCAAGGTGGATTCTGAGAATGGTATTGTGGTTGTCAGCGGTATGTGATTTGATCTCGAGTTGCTCCAAGCCTCTTCTAAGTCCTCTTGCTAATATATTTCTTTTTCTTCAGGTGCCGTCAGCGGTCCCAAGGGCTGTGTTGTGAGAATTCAGGATGCGATCAAGAAGCCATGGCCGGAAGTGCCACAGGCAGAGTCGGCAGAACCTGCCACGGAAGCCGCTACTGCTTGATTGGAGATTTCTTTTCTTAGTTCTGACCATGTACTATTACACCATACGCGCGATATTGTTTGACTTGAGCGGCGTTTGTATATGATACAAAAAATGATATCCTTCTTCCTTTTTTCTCTTAAGCCATTGAGAAAGAAAAAAAAACAATGGCTTCGCAAAGTTGATAACGCAACAAATGGTCCCATAAAGAATGTCCCTAAACGCCTGAGCCAATGCACTGCTGTATCTGTACACGAGAGCTCCTTCAAGATTCAGTTCTTCCGGAAGGGATCGGTATCCTTGTCGAGCAATTGAACCACCGTTCCATCCTCGGTCTCGAGACTCCATTCCTCAGTGCGGAACTAGAAAAGAAAGGAAAGAAGTCAGCAACTAGTACAGAACACAGAACAACGTCGTAAACCAAATAAGCCCAAAACTCACATAGCTCATACGATCCGGCCGAATGCTGTGGAACTTCATCTTGCCCTGAGACTTCGTCCCCTTAACCCAGAACGAGATATTAATGCGACCATGCAATTGATTCATCTCTCCACTGATCCAGGGAATCTGCTGCGCGAAGTAGATCTCATCACCTAGGATCTCACGAGCCCGCGGCGACGTCCGCAGCGCATATAGCGTGCTGTTTACGATACTCGACGACGACTTCTGGTAATTGAAGATTCCAAGCATGCCCGCTCCCGTCGCGATAATGAATATCGGCAGTGTGAGAAGCCATTTGCGGGTTGGGTTCGGGTTCGGTAGCTCGCGGTCCGCACGTCGTTCCAGTAGCGGTCCTGCGTTCGGGCCTGGGGCAGCTATCATTGTGCGTCGGCTGGCGATGTTGGGTCGGGCGAATGGCCGGGCGAGCGCGGCGCGCCGCGTGAATACTCGGGAGAAAACCATTGTTGTGTTTGCGGGTGTTTATTTGGTGTTTTGTCGGGCTGGTGGTTCGATTTGGGGGGGGAGGTTGCGGAAGAAAAGAGTGTCAAACAAGACAAACAACTTTGAACCTTTCGACGTCACTGCACCGCCAACGGCTGAGAGTACAACGCTTTTGTTTTGGCTTTGAGATTTCGAGAAATGGCTGCGGTCAGATTACGCAAGGCGTTTCGATACCCTGAGGAATCGGAGGGTGAGCGAGAGGAGTTGGATGAAGAGCAACAAGAACGGGTTATCGAGCAGTTGCAGAGGCAGAATGATGCTCGTAATGCTCAGTACAGTGTATATATCTTTTTCTTCTTCTTTTATAATGGAGGATCCATGCTAAATATGTTCGCAGATGATTTTTACTGCACTTCCACTGCTGGCTGCTACAGTATTTGTGTCTTCGGTGCTATCAGCTTCCAGTCAGGCTGAACGATTGTTCTCGTTTCTCGGCCTTGTTTCGTTGTTGACAACGGCCTATATCATGAAATGCTCTCCTCTGCAGCCTGATCGCAAAGGCAAGAAGCCTGTGACGTTCCACACCGAACGTATTGCTCGGCTTCGTGCGGCTCTAGTGCCTGGCAACAGTGCGATTTGCTTGTTGCTGGCTGTGGTCTATTTTTCTACAGGTTCATCTTATGGGATCCAACCGGTGCTATACTTGATTCCTGGAGGTGAGTCTCTTCTTTTCGATGTTGGGGGATATCGAGTCTGACTATGTATAGTCATGCTCGCAGTGATTCTACTTGCCCAAAAGGTCATGCTCTCTGTTGACCTTGCATCCCTCAAGGATCTACAGTACGAGTACAAAGGTGCCTAGCCAGTAGTTAGTAATTCACGAATTCAACTTGATTTCAACTTGAATACATATGTTCATTATTAAAGTACAGCCAGATTTTGTCAAACCATGGTGTCGCAGAAGAGATAAACCCTTCGGGGAATCACAAATCATACATCCGATTTCCTTCACCACACCCTTTCGCAAAATATTCAGCGCTCATCGTAATTCGTGAAATAAAAGTGATCTCTGTCGTGTGCTCGAACTCAGCAAAAATCATGAGCTGATTCAAGTGCCTGCCTGGACCATCAATGATGGATCAACAGGAATTGCCCCATCCTTCCCATCAAAGCCCAGTGGAATATCATCGTTCCCGTTGTCATTTTGTGCCGGCTGGTCGAACGGACTTGACTCGAAGCTGAAGCCCTGATCTTCTAGGGTCTTTTGCCGTCCTATTTCAGCTTCCTCAGCTTCCTTCTGGCGTTTTTGAATGCGTCCATGAACATCATCGCCAAATTTCTTCAACCACCACAGATTCGATTTCCGGAAATCCACCAAGGACTCGATGCTGCGGGGATCGGCGACCTTACTGGTGTCATGACCCAGAATGGTACAGTTAGGTTCATAGGGTTTCATGGATGGGTCACGCTGGCAAGCACCGCAGCTGCATTCCTTGCGGCATTTTGGACACAGCCAGTGATGCTTTTCCATAGCCTCCTGAGGGGAAATTTCAAAAGCACGGAACAAACTGCCGTAACAGTAACGCTGGTCACAATTTGAGCAAGGCGCGAGCTTCCAGTTGACCTCGAAATGAAGGCAAACGTGACAGCGGTGGACGTCATCTGATTTTGCCATGAGAGACTGCCGCAATTTGCGGCGCTTTTTGGACCGAGCGTTGTCTTCGGATTCGCTATCAGCATCTTCGATCGTGTTGTCTACCACGGGCTTGGGCTTCTTGGGATCATTCCAGGGGCGGCGCATCAGTTGCTCTTGGCAAATCTCCGCCACAGACTTTTTCCCTGCCTGACCCCGAGCGACAATGAAAGTGGGAAACTGAATCTTCAAAGCCTTGTTGTTCTCGTCAGAGGAAATTATCAGCCGTCGCCATGTCTCGTAGCGCTCGGTTAAGTGCTTCCACTGAAACTGTTCCATCCACTTGAGGTTGGAAACACATGCACAGCTTCTACCCATGACGTAGCAATCCATGCATACATCATAAGGGTCCTCCTCGCCGTTAATATAATTTACGCAACCAGGACAGGTAAGAAACCTGTTGAAGATGTTGCACCGGCAAAATGAGCAGGTGACATTGCTCTGGAACTCATGATACTCGACGTTCTTCTCTGGCTTCTTTTGTGAGAAGGATTCGGACAACAAAATGTTCTTGTACATATCAAACAGCCGTTTGAAGTCCTCCCACAGTTGAACCACCGCCGGGTGGTCAACCCTTTTTGCTTCCCGTAACAATTTGTAATACCGATCAAGAGTACAGTACACAATTGCTTTGTTCTTGTACTGTTCATCACGGCAGACCATTCGCGCATGCGGCAAAGCTTCACGCAGGGCCAGCTCGAGCGTGTCCACAGTAGTGCGATTCCAGGCAACTTTCATCGTTCGAGTGCCGCGGTTCCAAACCTGGTGAGCAGCAAGAGGGGGTACAAGAATAAGGTCACCGGGCTTTTGCTCCACCACCCAGGTCTTAAATGGTGCAATCTCCCATGCATGCAAGGGAGCAAAGAAATCTTCAATGTCAATGTCATGCCCGAGAACAGACATCCAGTATTCGGAAACGATACGTCGGTCATTGGTCTCTGTCATGAGCCAGATAGAAGAACCCGGTTCTGTTGGCTTGCCGTTTTCTGAAGACCCATCAGATGCGTCGACCATTATGTTGTGACCAAGACTGGCACACATCTCTTGGTGTGCTGGCGTGTATGTACCCTCATGACCGATGTAGCACATAAGGTTCTCCGCACGCATGTTTGGGGGCAGGCTACTCATCAAATCGCCCGCTGGGGCAATGAGGTCGCCTTGGGTGGACTTGGGGATTTCGGACAGATTCGTTTTTCCCGACGCAGGGCCCTCAAAGGCTTTGGGTGCTTCGTTTAGGTAGAACAATGAAGGTGGTAACAAGTTCTCAAGATAGGCACGCCACTCGGGAGGGCAGTCGATGTCCTTGAGGTAGAGCCGTTGCAGGTCTTTGTTTGTATAGTTGTGGACTGTCACCTGCCGAGTGAGAAGTGGTAGGCTTTCAAGGTAATGGCCCATGCTGAAGTTCTGGGTCCTCTTCTTGACTAGATCTCGAACTTCTTCGACTGTTAAGGGCCGTTGCAGTTAGTATCAGCCAACGAAGGATGACCAAGAGCGCGAACTCACCTTTCTTCGCGTATTTTTCTCGGAGCCATTTTTCCGAGAAAATACTCTTGTCAAGACGCTGATGAAATCCTCTGATGACCAAGGGTCTTCCGCTTAGGACAACCTGGAACAGGACAAGCCTTTCGAAGTCCTCCAGAGGGAATTCCTCAATTGAGTCACAGGTGATTTCCATCGCAAACTCAAAATTAGGAGTTGATTCAACAACCCGATGAATATCGAGGACAGGCGAGAGTGGCTCGAAAGCCAGGCGTGTTCGATGTGCCGGCATCGTGAGCGCAGAGCCCCAAGATGTCCCGACCTTTAGTTGATGTTCGTAATCGGCGCAATTCTCGCAGGAGCGAAGTTCATGATTTGAGAGAAAGTTGGTGGTCAGGACCAAGGTTGAGATTGTGTAAGACGTAGAATTGTGAACTAGCTGGGTGGATTGGGTGGTCTTTCACTGTTTCAGTAGTGCGGACGTGATGATGGTTGGAACGAGATGACTGAGTGAAGTGGGAAGGAGCGAGGGAGGTGGGTACACAGTAGATAGAACAGAAGGGTTGAAGAAGTAAATTTAAGCTTGGGAGTCGAGAGGTGTAAGATCAGATAGAGTGACGTGAGGTGTCGCAGCTCATTCCCTTCAATTCTGGCGATCATCAACTTCTGGAACGCGGGATGCCGCGTTTTATGGCCTCAGGCAGAAACATACACGTGAACCTTGGAACTGTCTCAGTTATTTCATTATTTTACCTACATAAGGGGATAAGGGCATAAGGGAACTTGGAGGTAATATAGCCTAACTTCTTTCTTCGGTTTGAAGGCACTTTAATAGTATTCAGCTCAATGTATACTTGCTAGTCTCAGCATAGCGTGACAGCGCGGCTCCATATAAAGTAGATCTGATGGCCCAAATAGGCTTAGGGGGAGGAACGAAGCCGCTTTTTCCTGCATGACGATGTAATTTCCGACACCTAGATCTTCAGATAGCCAGACCTTCAAGGCTTCTGAGAGGAATATGAATATTACTGGTTGCCTTAATTGACACCTCATGTTCAGTTTCTAGTCCCCAGTTCTCGCCATGCTTTCCACCAGCTCCCGTCTCTTCCGCGCTCAACTATCCCCATACAGGCAAAAGGTCAACCTCACTGGTCTATACAATGGGCGCCTTTCCACACTCGCTCACAATGCCTATTCCTCAACGCAATTGAAAAGCGGCCGAACCTTCGCTGGTGCCTCATCCAATGCCTTGCGAACACAAGTCCAAGTCCGACACAACTCACAGTTGCAATCGCCCGCAACACAACCAATCGAGACGGACAGTGCGGAAAAGAACCCAGCCACCCACTACACCCCACCGAAGACAGGCTTGATTGCATCTCTACCGAGTTCATGGATACCCTATGCGGAATTGGTGCGGCTGGACAAGCCAACGGGCACATACTACCTATTCTTCCCAACTCTCTTTTCTACCCTTCTCGCTGCGCCAATGGCTGGTGTGGCACCTCTCCCTGTCTTGGGCACAGCAGCACTGTTCTTTTCCGGCGCGCTGATCATGCGCGGTGCAGGCTGCGCGATCAACGATCTGTGGGACCGAAACCTGGACCCTCATGTGGAACGCACCAAATTCCGACCCATTGCCAGAGGTGCACTCTCGCCCAAAAAGGCAGTTCTCTTTACGGGTTCACAGTTGGTGGCTGGGTTGGGCGTACTTCTTTCGTTCCCTAGTCAGTGCCTTTGGTATGGGATTCCTAGTATGCCTATTGTGGTAGCCTATCCCCTTGCTAAGCGCGTGACCAATTACCCGCAAGCTGTCTTGGGTCTTGCTTTTTCATGGGGAGCGATAATGGGATTCCCAGCGCTGGGGGTGGACTTACTTTCCAATCATGATGCCATGATGGCCGCAGGTGCCCTTTATTCCAGTTGTATTGCTTGGACAGTTCTGTACGATATGATTTATGCACACATGGACATTAAAGACGATGTCAAGGCCGGAATCAAGTCAATTGCCCTCCGCCATGAGCACAACACCAAGGCTATCCTGAGTGGTCTAGCGGTGACTCAGGTCTCGCTCCTCGCGGCTGCAGGAGTCGCTGCTGGTTGCGGACCTGTTTTCTTCGTTGGAAGCTGCGGCAGTGCCGTTTTGTCGCTTGGTCTCATGATTTGGAAGGTTCAGTTGAAGAGTGTTCCGAACTGCTGGTGGTGGTTCAAGAACGGATGTCTGCTGACCGGAGGAGGGATTTCCTTGGGCTTGCTCGCCGAGTATGCGACGCAGTACCTTGGTCTGTACAATACGACGGAGCCGGAGCGCGTGGTGGCCGAGTCAACACAATAACCATGTACAATAACCATGTAACAATATATATAGCCGTCCAAGGCTTGGTTCCTTTCTTTTTTTTTTTCTTTTTTCTTTTTTTTTCTTTCAAGGCATCTGCAACGACCCCGCCACGTAGTTTTGGATGGCAGTGACGATATCTCTCCAGTCCATCATGCTTCCGGTGTCGACATCTCCACTGGCCAGGCTCTTCTCTATGGGAGGCAGAACAGTCACCCAGCCTTCTGGATTTGATTCACTCCATCCCCACTGGTCACGAAGAACTTTAAGCTGCTTCTTGGTCACTGGATGTCGGTACGCACATGTGTCCATGTCCAACGCTGCAAAAATCATAGATTTCTGAGTCTTGAATCCCATATCCACTACCCCAGTTGTATCCCAGGCCCTGATGACGGAGAGAAGCAGGTTGTCGGCGATCCCATTAACCATTTTCGCCATGGTATTTGCAGACAACGGGGCAACCAGTAGAATATGCGCCCCTATGATGATGTCAGTTGCTTCTTTGTATCATGTACCATATATCTACATAGTCACTGACATTTGCGCAGCTCAATATGCAAGACTGGTCCTCCGCGTGTCCACGACGGAGACCATTCATCTTTGTCCCGGTAGATAGCGTCGATACCATCTATTTGTAGCAGACTGTCGAGGACCAGTTGCTCCGAGCTCTGCCCAACGAGGAACTTTTCCGCTGGCTCGGTAACTAGGATGCGGACTGAGATGTTCTTATTACGACATAGCGCCTCTGCAATGTCGGGCAGCTTGATGGTAGCGGCTGCTAGTAACACATGGATCTTCTTGTCATTTGTATACTGCTGGGCAATAAAAGGCGCAGGCGTTATTTGAGAATCCATTGCAATATCTTTATTGTGACAAAAAAGACAGATAACAAGATAGACAAGTCAAGTGAAGAAGACTGGCTCACAGAGCCCTAGAGACCTTTAGATGTGTGGGGATCAACCAGACCCGCCGACCAACCGTTGATTAAATAATACTAAACCTCCAGACCTTTCCCCGAAGTCAACCTCTTCTTTTGTAAACTACCCATCATTTTCAAAATGTTTTCCAGAGCAGTTGCATCGGTACGTATAAAAATTTCCCTATTCCGCAAGATCCTCCAACTCACATGAATTCCACAGGCTTTCCGCCCGGTCTCACGGCCAACCTTTTTGCGCCCCGTCCGCTCGGCCATCCAGTTCCCCTCGGGCCCTTCTATCCCCTCTGTCCTCCATGCACGCCTTCTGTCCAACGAGACCCGGACGGCGATCGATAAGGCGGTTTCTTCCGCCCCCGTCGTTCTGTTCATGAAGGGTACACCCGAGACTCCCCAATGCGGTTTCTCCCGTGCCACTATTCAGATCCTAGGCCTGCAGGGTGTTGATCCCAAGAAGTTCGTCGCTTTCAACGTACTGGAGGATGCGGAGCTGCGCTCAGGTAAGTTGGGATTATCTCGAGTGAACTTCTGCCGGATTTGGATTGCTAATCATGCTGCGTTTACAGGAGTCAAGGAATACTCTGAGTGGCCCACTATTCCCCAACTATACCTCGAAAAGGAGTTCATTGGTGGTTGTGATATCCTGATGTCCATGCATCAAAATGGTGAACTTGCCAAACTTCTGGAGACCAAGGGTGTCCTGGTTGCCGCGGATGAATAAATAGAAGCCGAGCACGAGTGGAAGATGTCAGCCTATCAATTTGATAGATGGCTGTCTCTGTAAAATTATTTGTCTCTAATGTATTCTGGTCCCAATATCCTGCTGGTCAGATAGTTGTTTTGTTGATTTGACAAATGGAAGGTAATCTCCAATCTAATCTGCTCCAGTAGACCAAAATGTCACAAGCCGCCATGCAAACGAACGAGGCAGACGCTTGTATAAGAAGGAACCACAGTTGATGAGGCCTAATATCATACGTGCAGTTGATCTTCATTACTTGATTAGTATTTCCCCCAAAAGAACGACAACCGGTCTATTCAGCTCATTTAGCTGCTTCAGCTGCCTCTTGTGACTTCACCAGATCCTCAGCAATGGCCTTGTCTAGCTTTGCGCGTTGCCTGGCTTCATAAGCTTCACGGCTCTTCAAGATCCGACCAACAATTTCGCCAGCGTTCACGTGTTGGAAGGCATGCTGCTCGGCTTCGCGGAAGATTCCCATCTTCTTGGGAGCAGTGTATGGATCGTATGTTAGCGGGATGAAGGTCGTGGGCCCGTGGTAGACAGCATCGGGAGTGCCCCATGGGATTGCCTTGAGGTATGGTTCGCTGGGGGTAAATGGCGCAGAGAATATGACAGCATTGATGTACTATGGCGAAGGTCAGCAAATGGAACAGATGAAAGCACACCAAGAAAAACTTACGCGGCATTGAAGAACACAGAGACCACGTTCGAAAATGTTCATGATTGGGTAGTTCAAGCCTTTCCAATGGTTGATCACATCGTCATCATGGATACCTGCGACAATGTAGGTTGGCGCATAGTCCTCGCCATGGTCCTTCAACCTCTTTGCAACCTGGTCTTGCTCATACCAGCCACGTTGCCGGCCCTCGGACTCCTCGAGCTCTGTGACTTTGCGCAGGAACGCAATGTGACCAGAAGAAAAGAGGTCGAACCCTCCGTCAACATAAACAACCCTCTGTCCAGGTTTAGGTCCCTTTCCATCGACCAACGTCTCAAACAGGCCAGCCTCCTCGGCAACGTGGTCCATCTTCGCGGTGCCTGAGCCAGTCCATGTCCACACCTGAGGGCCAGGCTGAAGACCGCTCTCATCCGTCGCATAGTCCTTGATTCTCTGCAAAAGATCTGCAGCAGAAGCCTTGCGCTCCTCGGGGCTTCCATACCCTTCCAGTCCAGCGAGTGTACCCTTCACAGATTTGACGAAGTGGTTCCTGGTGCACAGCAGCATGCGGCCAACAAGATCGGTTGTCGAGATGCCCGGGGTACGTTTGACGACACGGAAGCGTCCAGCGGCTTTGACAAAGCGGTAACAATCGTTTCCATCACTGTCGGAAGTAATGTCGTCTCCATGGACGACATATTTGCATCCGTAGTGGGAGACCCAGGGTAGGTAGGTCACGTAGGGGGCATGTGGAACACTTTGAGTTGCCCAACGACACGCGTCAACAGCTGCGACACTAGATGAAACCGAAATTAGTGTCAGATCCTAGCGGCTACACCGGTTTATAGTCAAACCAACCGTTCTTCCAGTGACATCACTGTCGGACCCTTGTTCTCGAGGATAGCTTGATCGGAGTGTATTCCCACGTAAAGGGCCTTTCCTAGCTGGCGCGCTTGGAGCATAGCACCGGCATGACCTGTAGAGCGACCCATTAATTAGCTCAGAGTAATTGACTGGGTGTTAATTGCAAACCTACCGTGGTGGCTGAAGTCGAAGCATCCATCTACCCAAAGTCTGTCCTCTGAGATTGGTACATCCTCCTGGGGATCAACAGGCCACTGGCCAGGCAGAGGAACCTGTTCCTCGAGTGGTGTTGAGTCCATTTTCACAATAGTACTCGGTAACAAATTCAGAATTGTTCCAAAGTATAGAGCTGAACCGTATAGGAGGGGGAGGGGATGTGATCGACAGTAAATTACAAAGGGGGTACGGTTACAGTAATCTCCGGCATCACAGTCTGGCTTGCGGGGAACTTCAAATGTTTCTTCAGATCTCCTGAGTCCCAATAACCTTTGAATACACCCCGTGAATACATTGGGGTCTTACCTATTCGCCTATCGGTCTGGTACATCGGGCTTCTTGCTCTCTCGCCTTTTCTGATACCTCCACCTTGTCCTGCGACCCCTGCCCACCCTCGTCCTTTGCTCCGATATTGCCCACCAACGCCAATGATTCCCTCTACATTCGCCCCAGGCATCACGCGGCGGGACACAGCCAAGTCCGGTGGTGGATATGAAGGGGCATATGCGATCCCACCTCCAGTTGTTAGTGGAGGGGGTCTTCTAGGCCCGCAAAGTGCCGGCGCAATCTATCAGCACATCCATGAAATGGCCGCGAAACGGATATCGACTCTGGACTATTTAAGGAAGGCGTAAGTGGATCGCACAGTCCAACCAGACCTGAGCACTACTAATTCATACCATGCTACGTATAGTCATGAAGGACGAGTTTATTGGTTTAATACTGTGCACTTCTCCCGGACTGACATCGCTCGGCTGCCATACTTTGAAGCCCGGAAACTTTCTCGCCGCGCAATCAATTATTTGCTTCTAGGCTTGTCATTGCCAACAATACTTGACGTTAATTCCACGCCATTTGAGTATGTGCGTGCCCTGAATGCTTTACTTCTGGAATTCGAAACATTCCAGTCAGTGCATCCCCCAGATGGGAGCTCCTCGTCAAGCCTTGCAAGGGCCCGCATACCACAAATGTTTAAGCGGGCGACGCATGCAGGTACCAAGACCCGACGCACCAGCTCTGCAAACGAGATCGGACTTCCAATGCAATCCAGTGACCCATCAGACTTGAAGAACATGGCAGGTAATCTCGGGTCGGCTTCCTCTGCCTCGGTCACCTCCTTCCCGCTCACAGAGTCTTCGGATCTTCATCCTGGCGAAGAATACACTTATCTTCTCACGCCATCGTTGCCATTCGAGCCAGACTTCTTTGAGACATTTGCAACGCTGTGTGATGTCTTGATTGACACTTATAGCAGGCTCGCCGCTCTAGTATCATCTCCAGCTGTCTGCACAGTGGCGCTGGGCGAGACATTTTCCAAAGCAGATGCCAGGTTACGAAAGATCATGGTGGCCGGCGCAGTGCGTGAGTTCGAAGACGCGAGCCGAAATAGTGTTAAGAGTGAAGTTGCCGGGGTCAGTCGAGTGGTGCTTGGCGGTTTATTGGGATAGCAGCAAGGTTTAGCTGCTATATATTTGGGTATGGTATTCATGCGTCAGTTTTGACAGGACATATGGTTGGGTTTTTATGAGATATGAGTTTATCGAGCTGAATGTTGTACGATAATGGAATTTCAGATCTAAATTTGAAAGCTTCTAATAATACATCTGTGCCGCCTTCTTGATCGGGGCTACTCAGTACAAAAAGCAGAATATTCAAGGCAACTGGCTCAAAATAACTCAATCCAGAACTTTTCTTGGGCGTGCGGCTTCGTGAGGCGAGAGGTGGTATTCATGAGAAGATTGAAAGAGTCGAGAATCGAAAAAAAGACAGGTTAAGACAAAGAACTCCGCTTGGCGCCACATGCTCGAATATGTAAAACAGACGCCGGGATATGCAGTCGCTTGATGTTGAATGCTGAATGGGGAAAACATGGAATATGATGTCGGGAAGAGATCGCGGAAATTATTATGTCGAGAGTTTGGGACGCTCATGACTGGAGACTTTGCTTTTCAAGCTCGCGTTGTTCGCCGAAGACGCGGCGGCTCATCTCTAGGACGGTTTCGAATCCTTCGCGGCCAATCTTGGCATTTTCACGGAACCGATCCACGCTTGCCTCTTCGACCTTGTTCTTAATCTTTTGCCATCCACCACATAGAGCAGTGATTTTTGCTTCTTGGCTAAATTCGGTTGTGGTGGCTGGGCTAAGGGAGGATTGGCGGTAGATAACAGTTTCACGGACGCTGAGGACGTTCGACCATGTCAGATTGGTGGAGCACATAGTCACCTTCTTTGCGACCGGATCGACATAAGAGACTTCGTAGACGTGAGATGTATTGGTTCCACCGAGAATCGAGAGCACCCATTTTGGTACAGACTGATCGCACGTGATAAGGCGCTCGGTTCGCAACTAAGAGGCAAACGTCAGTACAAAGGTTTCAGGATATTTTGAGAATTCTGGTTCGAGGTTGAATGACTCACAATGCCAGTGCTCGGGTCGATG